CATGTTGGGATATGTGATTCACAATTGTGGGAAATAATCGAGAGTATTAAGCACCCCATATCTCATATTGATCGGCTACAGTGTAAGAAGCAGTGCCGGCCGACTACCGAGTTTTGCCGAGTTTGGGTTGCATCTCCAAGACAAGCTCATAACTAGTACTGACTAGTACTACTACCAGCCAAAATTATGCACTGGTTTCCTGGCATATGTCAATGTCCCACATCCACAAGTCAAGAATTGCCCAACCCTTTCCCCACTGATCAACGTGGGGTCTACATTGCTAAGGATATTCTTGGCTTATGCACCCAATTTCGAGGATAAGGCTGGGATAATACAGTCAAGTACATAGTAGTGGGCCCGAAACGCGCAAGAATAACATGAATGCTATGTGTTGATGGTCCTTTGATAATGTGGCTGATCAGCTATAAAGAGCATCTCGTCCATGATGTTAAGCACCCCCAACAAGAATAGACTTTCACTCAGTCTACTTTTCATTTTGCTTAATCTGACATTAGAAAACGCTTAACCATGGTGGGTGTTATTGACACTGCATCCGAGACGGTCGAGCCGCCGCGAAGACTTCTCGCAGCTGTCGTCGATTCTCTTGCCATTGAATGCCCTACGCGGCGATTTTGCTTGATCCCCAATGGTACAGAAGTCCACCAAGGTTTCCGCGAAGTGACTCTCAAGGAGCTATGTCGCGCTGTGAATACGATGTCTTGGTGGATGGAGAAGCATCTTGGTAGCTCCGTCAAGGGAGAAACAATTGCCTATCTGGGGAGCAACGATATCCGCTATATTATCCTGATGCTTGCTTCGCACAAAACAGGCTGTACGGTCAGTCTTTGGACATTGGAGATGGAATAATTAACGATTCGAACGTTGTGTAGATATTCTTTCCTTCAACTCGGCTATCAAATGAAGCATACGATTCAGTGTTTCGAGCGACACGTACCAAAATGCTGTTATTCAGCCCGGAGAAGCATCACCTCGTCTCAGGTTTAACCGGGCCAAGCAAGTCAATCAGCTCCCTGGAAGTACCAAGTGTTACTGGAATGCTGAACGACAATTTGAATGTGACGCATTACGATTTCACTTCGACGTATGAGGAGATGGAAGACAAAACCGCATTCATAATCCACAGCTCGGGAACAACAGGTGAGGTGGATAACTACAACTGCTTGGCTGGTTGGCTTATGATTCTAAATCTCTCTGTAGGTATGCCCAAACCAGTGTCGCTTACCCATGGCTTCCTCGGCACTGTCGACTACGGTGCGTTCATGCCTCGACCCTCTGGCCGTTCACCGGCCTTTTTCCAAGACCTGCTCTCGGCCGATCCCCACCCAAGCAATCTTGTTTTGTCAGTTACACCATACTTCCATATGATGGGACTTGTGGCGTTGCTTGAATCGATATTTCACAACATCCCCTTCGTGACAATCCCGGACCAGCCATTGTCTGTCAACCTGCTGATAGATGTTATCCATGCGACACATCCTACTGCTACCATCCTGCCACCATCGATCCTCGAAGACATGAGCCTGTCTCAGGAAGCTCTGGAATGCCTCAGCACCTTAAAGTTCGTTTGCTATGGAGGCGCTCCGCTGGCGAAGCAGGTCGGAGACAAGGTAAGCCAGTACACCCAGGTAAGAAACCCAATCGGATCCACCGAGATGGGCATTATCAGCTCCCTTGTCCCGGAGGGGAAGGAAAACTGGGGTTACTTCGAATGGAATCCGACATACGGGATCGATATGCAGTCTGTCACGGATGATTTATACGAGCTAGTGATCCCTCGTGTGGAGGATTCTCGCCGGATGCATGGGATATTCCATACATTTCCAGCTCTGAAAGAGTACCGATCCAAAGATCTCTATGTGCGGCATCCGGAAATCCCGAAGTTGTGGCAATACCGTGGCCGCTTGGACGATGTGATCGTGCTCAGTAACGGAGAGAAGTTGAATCCTGTGACATTGGAGAAGGTTGTCGAAGGCCATCCCTCTGTTCGTCGCGCTCTTGTTTTTGGACAGGGCCGATTCCAGACAGGCCTGCTGATTGAACCCGCGATTGATGATCATAATGGCAATATTGATGAACAGAATTTCGTGGACATGATCTGGCCTTCGGTGCAGATTGCCAACAAAACCGTTCCTCGGTACGGGCAAGTCTTGAAAAAAATGATTCGGCTTGCATCCCCCGGAAAGCCATTCAAATTGACGCCGAAGGGCACTACCCAGCGGCATGCCGTCAATGCGGACTACGCAGAGGAGATTGACGCATTGTATGCCACCGCGCAAGACAAACAGCTGGGGGCTGAGCTGCCATCGACGATCGACTTTGAGAGTGTGCATCGCTATGTGCATGAAGTCATTACCTCGCTCACTGGGCGATCTGATATAAAGCCTAGCGATGATCTTTTCGGCTTAGGACTCGACTCACTACAGGCGATTGAGCTTAGCAACCTGTTGCGAAATGCAGTCTCGTCTTACAACCCGACGCTGGGCACGGAAAGCATTACCGTACAGAACGTTTATGCTCGACCCACCACGGAGAAGCTTGCTGGTCTGCTTTTGGCCGTCCTTCAGGAGCAGGCAGCGACAGCCCCGACAGCATCACGCTCTGAAAGAATCGCCGGCCTAGTGTCCAAGTACACAGGTGATCTCCCGATTCGATCCTTCAACTCCTCGGCTCAACTGCCTCCGCTTTCGACTGTTATACTGACTGGATCAACCGGCTCCCTGGGCACTTACATTCTTTCCGGCCTATTGAACGATCCTAAAGTTGCAAAGGTATACTGTTTCAATCGGGCTGCTGATGCAGGCACTCGCCAGCAACAAGGGTTTGCCGAAAAGGGTCTGGACGCCTCATCCCTGAAAGACCCCAGCAAGGTCGAATTTCTACACGTGTCCTTCGGAGACAAACACTTTGGTCTTGGTGATGCCATGTACAGCAAGCTGCTGGATACGGTTGACCTGATCATCCACAATGCGTGGAAAGTAAACTTCAATCACCCCGTCTCATCGTTTGAAGACCCTCATATCAAGGGGGTGCGTGAATTCGTCAATTTCAGTCTTGAGAGCCGCTACAATGCCCACCTTGCCTTTGTCTCCTCCGTGAGCACAATCGCAACATGGACGCCCACTTCGGATGAGGTCGCTGTCCCTGAATCGCCAATGGATACTGTGGACTCCGTACTAAAACAAGGATACGGCGAATCAAAACATGTAGGGGAGAGGATTTGTTTGGAGGCGTCACGAAGGTCAGGGGTGCCGACGAGCATCCTACGTGTGGGACAGATCGCGGGACCGGATAGTCGGTTGGGGCTGTGGAATCCACACGAGTGGCTGCCCTCCGTGGTAAAAACGTCTAAGACCATAGGAAAAGTACCTGATACGCTGGGCAGTTTTCTCGTGGATTGGATTGCTGTGGTGAGTCTAACCTTGTCGTAAATGGATCGCCAGGCTTAACAAGAATAGGACACTCTGGCCAGGATCACAATCGAAATCCTACTGAGCCGTCGGCCATCACTATCAACACAACCCCATGCTGTTTTTCATTTGACAAACCCATCACGGATTCCCTGGAACAACCTGATACCTGCAATCCAGGAAAGATATCCTGTGAGCGTCGTGTCCCTCGCGGAATGGGTCGATGAGCTGGAACACATTCCGAATCCTTCCCCTCAGGACCTTGATGAGAAACCGGCTCTAAAACTTCTATCTTTCTATCAGGCCTTAGCTCACAGTGCGGCTGTGCCAAATGCTGAGATCAGCGTGGAGAATTCCAAGCAAGCCAGCAGAACTATGGCATCGCTCGGGCCGGTCTCGCGCGCTCAAATGTCCAACTGGCTAAATCAGTGGGATTTTTGAGGGTTCTTGCTAGATATCTCCATGCTTAGCACTTGATATTCTCCCCCTGCTCTAGCAGTAACTGTAAGTAAATAACATGTGGATGGTCTCCTTCTGTGGCCTAGAAGATAAGCAGAGACATAAGATTAGATCTAGTAAGACACAGTATATATAGCCTCTACATTTATGCCTGCATCCAGAAATATCCTCGCCATCTTAATATACCCCGTTCTACTGTATATATAATGGCATTATCCTATTAATAAATTGGAAAATACCTAATAATCTTTAGGGGAAAAGGAGGCCACACTAATAGAATTGAAATCTTTATAACCTAGCTTTATCTTTCCTATGATCTAGAATGGATTATTTAATATTAGAGTTATTATAACTCTTAAGCTTAATAACTTAAGTAAAAGTAGTAATTATGTATATCCTTTCAACCCATACCAGATGCACTGCGAGGGCTGCCTTCCTATTGGCCTAGCAAATGACGTTTTGGTCACTATAGCGCGCCGTAGCTACACTGAGCAGTCTCGTATTGACAGTTTGACCACGACCACGTCCCCTTATCCTTTTCAGAATTTATCAGTCAATAATCAATAGAGTCTGAAACATTCTGTTCATCAAAGAATGCCAGGTGCGCGGAGCTCTGGTTGCTTACTTTGCGTCCAGCGTCGCGTGAAGGTTTGTCTTCCAAGAATTGGAGGCCACACACCATTAACATATATATAGTGTGATGAGCGACTTCCGGGTTGTGCGCGGTGCGAGAAATATGGAAAGCCGTGCCCCGGCTATGTCAGGAACTTCAAGTTCAAAGCTGGAAAACCTTATCGTTCTCGACGCGCACCTCGAGCCGATGGCTCGGATTGTGAACGGAGCGTGTCTAATAGAGAAAACGATGAGGCAGACGGAGTTTCAATGATACCGAGTACTACGGTGTCTTTGCTGTCTTCTTCAACGGTCGATGTCCTCCAAGGACTTTCGTCAGTAGTCGATGACCTCTCTCAGCCTCGCTCGTCGACTTCAGTCCATATTGTTTCCAGATGGTTCAGCAGTCTTCCAGCTCTCTATGGACGGAACAAAACACTGGATGCAACTGTTCGATGCTTCACAACGCACCATATTTCTAAGGTGCTACAGAATCTCCAGATGGCGCGGTATTCTAGATCTGCGTACGTCGAGGCTCTGAGCAGACTTCGAAAATCTCTAAACGCCCCTTCTGAGCGTCTGTCTGCCGATATCTTCTGCGCGGTGCTACTTCTATGCTTGTATGAGGTAGGCATCCCATTAATCTCCGGCACAGGGAGAAGTAATGTCGACTGATGAACTTAGCTGTTTGCAAATAATCAAAATCCAGACACGTGGATGAAACATGCAAAGGCTGTGAGTCAGCTAGCGGAGATTCGTGGGCCGAACGCTTACAAGGACCCATTCAATAATACGTTACTCAAAGCTGCAAGAGGATTGATTGTGGGTGACCGGCCTTTATGTTCTGAATACGATATAAAACTGACATGGGTGCAGGTAATGCACTCTCTTTTCTCCGGGGAAAGATGCTTTCTAGCCTCAGATCGGTGGCATGCCATAATGAAGCAGCGCATCAACTCATTCTATTCCGAAGAGCTGGAAGATTTGTTAGAGGAATTCATAGCTCTATTCACACTGGCACCAAGCCTAGTCCACGCCCTCTATGATATCAAAGCATCAGATATGACGAGTCCTGCAACCTGGAAGAAGGCTTCCGAAACCTTGACGCGGATTCTTGAGATTCAGAACAAACTGTCAGAATGGTATAGCCGCTTTTCCCGCATGGCACCACCTCCATACGAAAGGCTGTCATCGTCCAACGATGCAGTGTATCCTATCGTTCTGCACTATTCTGATTTAAATATCGCCTCAATATTCAATTCCTACCATGCATACATGGCTATCATACACGAGGCCCTACGGACCCTTGGTTATCCTGGTGAACATGAAGCTATGGTCGCCTTTTTCCGAGATCAGATCTGCAAGTCAGTGGAATACAACGGTGCCGGTCCCCTAGGGCCGTACAGGATGGGATTTCCGCTACGTGTGGCGTACGAGGCCGCAGACCCCAAAACAAAGGCTTGGATAGAGAACCGTTTGGTGCAAATGTCGCAGTATTATGCAGCTGTGGCACCCAAGAATTTTGCCACGCCTTTTGACTAAATCCTCTTTCTCCCTTATTGGTCGTCATTATGTCCAACTTTGTTGAGAAGATATCCACCGTGCTCAAGGCCTGTCGCCTCTCTCGCATTCCTCGGTATGGAGAGTTTTATATCCAAATGGCTCCATCGTGCCTCGTGATAACAATAGAAGCATTGCGACGACAACCTCCATCAACAGGCCCATGCCAACTTTGATCCCCTCTTTGCCAGTGACAGCGTTGAATTCATCCGATCCATACTCACTCAGCAGAAAGCAGGCGATTCTGACAGCCAAGAATGGCAGAGTGGCAAGGACCAGCATCACGCCGCGGTGACCATTCCGGGGCAGAACCGTGCGGTACGCGATTGCAATCCAAAGTACGAGACTGATCACGAATGCAAAGGTAATGACGAACACAGCCGAGCCAATATCCCTACAGGCGGAGATATTCATTGTCTCACCGACCACGGCACAGACCAGAGACAAGATGACTGGGAAGCGAAAGCCGTGAAGTAGAAATCGCAAATGTTTCGGGTACCTTGTGTTTCCGTGTCCGCTTCGTCCAGCCTGTCCACTTCTAGACGTTAGTTCTTGCAGCTTCTTGAGCAAACACATGACGTACCTTCGCAACAGGACAAGGCTCACTTCGAACAAAAGAGGTGATAGTCCGATACTTTGCAGAATGATCTCTGCTGTCAAGACCGACTTGCTCGGATTGGAAACAGCAATCACCATCGCGGAACCCGCAATTCGGACTGACCCACCTCGATCAGCCCTGTCCGAAACCATAGTGGGCAGGTGAATTAGCACTTACGGTGCGCCAAAATTCCAAGCATGCCAAACCAGGAGTACAGCACGCATCTGTGGACATTTCTCCCCCTTCTGTGGTGCCAGTACTGCCATTCCTGCATGAATCTTGTGATAAATTGTACCACTTGAATGAGGGAGAAGATGGTCACTTCAGCAATTGCGATGTGAGTGTGACCCCCTGAGAGAGACTGCATTTCATTGGTTTTCATAGGGGTCGGCTTCGAGTTGAGGCTGTTGATCAATTGGAAGACAGAATGAGCCTTTTTATCTGTATCTAACTGTAAATTTGGTGGCAGGAGATGGTGCTGAGAGTGACAGGATATGGTCGACTTGCTATATATACCGCGTCATTTTCACTGAGCCACATAATTATGAGACTGTGTCCATGAAAGCATTGGCTATAAGTTTCTAAGCCTCGTGCCTCATATCTGACCATCTATAGCCATCGAACAAAGCTGCGAGGACATCGCGATAATTGACCATTTTAGGCTTAGTGGCTTTCCTTTAAGCCTCTCTTGGCGCAAAGAAGCATAATGATTGGTGGGGAAACACCGACTAGCTCCGTTTTGTTACCTGCATGCCTCAGGCACTTAGCGAAGCTGCGACGGTACCTGATCAAGAAAGATACACTCTGGTCCCTGGCCGCACGTCCGTAGAACTGTAGCCCTCTTTGATGGTGTTGATTTGATATATATGGGCATTCTGGATAAAGTGCCAATCTGGGTTAAGAATTGTCCCCAAGAGAAAGCTACAAAAGTGACTCACAGCGTACCTAATACTAGATGGTCTCATAGTCTCTATAATCTTGGACACCCAATGTAACCTTGTCCTGTTCCCGCTTAAGCTCCGGTTGAAAGCCGGTTGGAACAATGAAAAGGATTGGGAAATTCCTCGCGCGGTAAAGAACCCCGACCGTGTGCGCAAGCTTCTGTCCCAGGGGCATAAACCAGATGCCTTTGATCTTTGCGAAGCAGCCCGTAACGGGGCTCTATACGCAGATGCGGCAGGAACGGTTAAGATTCTGTTGGATACCGGTGCCGTTGATCCAAATGCTAGGCCAGATTACGCGGATTTATTAAGGAGCATATTGAAGGAGTAAGGGGCTAGATTGATATTCTAACAGGTTGGTCAATGAGCAACAATATTTAAACACAACCATGTATCTCATCAGACAGGATCATTTAAGCCAGGTTGTTCCAGGATACCACGGAATAGAAATGGTGATCAACGGTATATTATACTGTATTAAATTAGAAAATTCTATTAGTAATAGCTGGTTCGTCTTAAGTAGCCGATGGTCACATGGAGTGCTTTCCACGGCTGACAATTCTGCCCTTTCCATACACGCCTCCTTCCATTTGTTCCCCTCCACAAAACCAGATCCCTCATTGATTATCCAAGGAGACAATTATTATCTCTCTAGCCATAACAACAACGCTCGAAATGGCCACTAGAGACAACTCGTCCCAAACTGATGACGAAAACTGGACCATACCATCTGTCGCGCCGGATGCCATGTGCCTGGATGGCCATGTATTCCGCATCAACTACGATGTCCCAGAGGAGATTACCCGGCAACTGAACGCACTGTACGACCGCGACGCAAAGTATGAAGAGATCCCGGAGCACCTGAGAGCATATGAAATCGAAAAGGAAGACTCAGATGTGGAAGAAGCAAAAGAGCTAGAACGGTACCTTGAGGAAGAGGCCACGCGCAAGAAGAAAGACCTCGAGGAAATGAAGGAGGCCTTGCTCAAGGCCAAGTCTACTCGAGTATCAACACGCGAGTGATCGTACATCTGAAGGGATGAGAGAGAACGGTAACAATGTCATGTATGCAATAAATTCACAATCTACTAGAGAACGAAACCTAATTCGACACTGAAAGGCTCGTATGGCGGCAATCCCTAGCAATACCATCATCACTATGTATTAATGAGTGGATAACTGATTGCTTCAACCCTAGGATGCCCGCTTTTGAGCCAGAGTAGGAGCCCCGAGGAAAAAATACTAACATATTGCTAAACGATATGCAGAGAGGACATCGATGTCTGTCTGTCTATACGCCAGGGAGAAGCAATACAGTCCCGTCGATCAATCTGTCACTCACTTGAGATTACTCGTTGGAGTTGCATAGGTGTAGATAGATTGGATTTCGTAGTCTGAGCTCTGAAAATGGTAACTAGTAGAATGTAGTGGGCATACCCAGTACATTTTCAAACCACTGATCGTCTCCTAGATCCATCGACTGCATCCAGACCATCTGATCCAGCTCTGGGATTTGGTGATTGCGACCGGTAGTGTCCGCGCTGGCACTCTGGCCCTGCCTGGTCTCCGCGTCATGCCATCGAGCTTCAGCCCACAAACGACATCTGGTTAAAAGCTTGGATAAGAACTTGAGTAAATGGTCGTCGCACTGAAGTTCCGGCTCCTCGCTGCTTAGATCGAGCTTCTGAATCATACCGTCCATCGTCGAGATCAGGTGAACGGTGTCCCGCACCGCTTGGCAATCCCATTCGGGATCTTGCAATGTTGATAGATATTTCAACAGTGTGATCGTCAGAATCATCTGGGACCAGAAATGAAAGGGCTGGCCGACAAGCCTCGAGCAAGGGATCTGGTAGAAATGGTCCAGCCACGACTTGATGTTCTCGACCGACTGCCATAAACATTCCAGGCGTTCGAATCCTAGTAGGCCAGATAGACTGAGAGGAGGTGAGTCTTGGCTGATGGAATAGGCGAGCTGGTTAATGTATAACTCGACGTATTGGGCGTGTGCATTGAGGATGTCTGCATGTGGAGGTATAAGCCTTCCTGGAGAAGATCTGCCAGGTTATTTGTGTTCGCTACGTACCTAGCCGGGGGAGGTCGGGAGGAAACGTAGACCTTAGCTCATGGAGCTCCTTTCGTAAAGTCTTGAGATACAAAAGGCGAGGAGCCGAAACTGCCGCAGGAGCTGTTGCGGTGCGAGCCTCGTCCTGTTGCCGTACGTCATCTGCTCTTTGCTTTAAGAGCTGCAAGCGGACTTGAGAGACAAATAGCCAATCTGCAGAACAATCTTCGGTTATTGTGAGGATTTGGAGCGCCTCTTCCATCTGAGGCGTCCATCGTAGAGCGTCTTGACGCCCAAGGTGCGACGCAATACTAGGATAGTCGTACATTAGTATAGTTTCGACCATAAGAACAGAGGCATACGCACTTAGAGCTCAAAATAAAACACGCCAGTCCTGCCCGCTGCCTTTCCAATAAGTCGTATGGCGTTTGATCCTTGGGGCTCTGATTATTGTCGTCCGCCCCTCCCTGGGTAATAGTCATCATGAGTTGCACGTCTGGCGATGAAGGCTTAAACAACCGCAGATCATAGACGATTGAAATTGCCAGCATCATGAGGCGAGAGACGAGGTCTGCTCGGCCGAGGAAAGGGTCCGTACTCCATGCTAGATACGTTAACAATCCAAGCAGGAGGTCGATATTTGACTGAACTTGGAGCAACGCCGATGTGAACAGGGTACGCTTCAGCTCCTCCACTAGAGTGAATCTTTCCTGGGTTGAGAACGTGGTCACGGTGTGGATGGCTTGGAGCAAGAAAGGCCTATTTTGGCGTAGATGGCAGCTTGTCATCTCTGGAGTCAGGTCGATAAACGGAAAGGATGGCAGCATTCGGGACCGGAAGAAATCGAGTCTTTCGTCCGCTCGATATGGCGATGGAGCGGGGGTGGACAGAGGATAAGGAGTTGCCTCTGTCGCGAGATTCGGTCCCTCATTGAAGCCCAGAGTAGTGCTCGCAGGGGTTACTAGAGTAGTATTTGAAGAAGATGTGGATGCCGAACTGTCGTCCCCGTGGAGAGTCTGAAGGATGTCGACAGCAGACGCCGAAGCCGCCGTGGAACCGATGAAAGACTGCATAGTGGATAACAGGCTCTCCATTTTCTCCTCTAGCCGGGTAATCCGCCTATCAGACACTCTGGATGTCTGAGCATTCTGAACATTCCGCCGGCGAACCGACTCTGATCGCTCACACCTTTTCTTGAGACGGAGACACCTTTCACAAGTATCGCCGCTTGGAGCACGTACGCACCGACACTTGGCTTTGTAGCAATGCGTGCAGGCTTGGCCATAGCTGCAGGACTGGCCGGCGGCTGGTTTCGATTTCGACCTCTCCATAGTATCCCGCCAGCTACGTCAAAATGTGATCGCATGTAGGAGATAGTTCAGAGATGTCGAACGGAGGTGAGTTAGGGATCTCCTTGCACGGAGATTACCTAAATCCTGCCGTGTCATGCCGACGGATTTAGACCTCCGAAGTCCGTTCATATACAAGGGTCGGATCTAGCCGCCAGGAAGACGAGACGGAGCCGGCGGGGTTATTAGTTAGAAATAACTAATAAGTAAACAAAAACAGGGATAGCAGCCACTTAAGATGCACGCTCTTGTCGAACTCCATCATTTTTGGAGTAGCGGGGACGACATGACTACAAAAGCAATCCTTCAATGGACGACACAGGGAGGGAAAATGGCGCGAAAAGCACTCGAACTGACATCTACGGCGTGCCTCAGCCGGAATTCAGTCGTCCGAATGCCGCTCAGAGCCCGCCATGGTATGCTCAAGTACTACCCAGCGCTGAAGCCCTGATATCCCTTAGAGCTTTCTACTAATATCATGTCCATGTAACCGCGCTCAAGTTCTGCGGCTTTTGTTTCTGTTTCTGTCTGCTTCATACCCTCCATTTGCTCCTTGATTGGTGCAACGCCCATCCGATCGCAATGCCTCCAAACAATCAGGCTGCCTGGATCCCCGCCAAAAAGACACGACCGTTCAAAGTTGGCGATGCGCCCTACACGCCCCCAGGCCCCGGCCAGGTAGTGATCAAGAACACCGCCGTGGCTATCAACCCATTCGACTGGGTGCTGCAGTTCATTGGGCCGGCGATCGCCGGCTACGTCAAATACCCCTTCATCTTTGGCACCGATGTCGCCGGCGAGGTGGTCGAGGTCGCTCCCGACGTGGATCGGTTCCGGGTAGGCGACCGAGTCTTCGGAAGTGCCACGGCCATAGCCAAGGAAGTCAACCGCCCCGCCGAGGGAGGGTTCCAACTGTACACAGTGATGCGACAGCATATGCTGGCGCCGACTCCAACCCACATCACCGACGAACAGGCCTGCGTCTTGGGACTGGGTCTCGGGACAGCAGCATGGGGTCTCTTCCACCCGGATTACCTGGGCCTCGACATGCCTCGGGTCCCGGCGCCCACGGACGTGGTGGGCAAGTCGGGCCTGCCGCGCACTGTTATTATCACTGGCGGCGCGTCAAGCGTGGGGAGCAACGCCGTGCAGCTAGCTGTGTCTGCTGGCTATGGAGTCATATCTACCTCGTCCCCAAGGAACTTCGACTACGTGAAGAGTCTCGGTGCAAACCATGTATTCGATTACAGGAGCAGAACACTGGTCAAGGACATCCTGGCTGCTCTCCAGGGCTGTGAGCTGGTTGGTGCCTGCGCCATTGGCCGTGGGGCCGTCGAGGCATGCACCGCCGTGATGAAGCATCATGATGTCCGCCTCACGCGGAAGCGCATCGCGTTGGCTGGCGCCATAATACCTCCTGATAAGCTCACCACTTTTGTTGGCAAGGGCACATACTTGATGGGCATGGTGGGCGGGATGGTCAAGTCGACTGCGAGGCGCGCTCGGACCGGGGTCGAAGCCAAATTTATCCTCCTCGATGGCCTGGTCGATCCAAATAGCGTCGTGGCTCGCATTTATACGGAGTTCCTGCCGCAGGCGCTTGAGCAGCGCCAGTTTGTGCCAGCACCTCCACCGCATGTCGTAGGCAAGGGACTGAACAAGATTCAAGATGCTCTGGATCTCCAGAGGAAGGGGGTCTCGGCGAAGAAGCTTGTCGTGACGTTGTAGTTGAGCGAGCTTTGAATAGGGCGGGGACAAGATATCGTTGTTGTAGTTATTTGGTATACCCGATTACTGCGCTTATTGCTAGCGATGGAAAATTAATTGTCATGTTGGTATATCTGGTCGAGATATGTGTGTGCAGGCAAATCGCCGCACCTAAGGCTATCTGTAGTGTAAGTCCAATCCACCAGAGTGACTGAGATTTTTCTGCGTATCAGTAATTCTGCTCTGTGCATGCGGATCCTTTGCATCAAGTCACTAAAAAGGTAATATTAAAGATCCATAACCTCTTCTAGAGAACACGTCATAGGAAGCACAGCGAGAATTAGTATACCCCGAACAATGACTGGTAACCTCAGCAGGCGGACATTGAGTAAGTAATGGTCACTACAGCCTTGTCTAAGCCATTGGTGGCACGACTCTACTTGTCCCAGCGGACTCTTGATCACCACTGGCAGGAGACTCGCTGCCAATAACCTGAAGATCCTTGACCTTGCGAATATCCTTCCATCCGAGTCCCGGAGCAAAGACCAAAACCGCAAGGCTGACCGCCAGACCGAGGTACATAACGTGGTCGATACTTTTGGCGTAGGCCTCGAGCACAGCAGCCAGCTGGGAGCCAGACACCAAGTCCCGGATGGAGCGGACTCCCGCGGCGACAACAGCGTCCGGAGCTTGGCCAATCTGAGCAGCGCGCTGCTGAAGCTGGTGACGGAGGCTGTTACTGAAAATTGCATTCGCAGCAATCAGAGAGGTAGCCGCCCCGATGTTTTGCCAGAAAATGACAATGGCCATGGCCTGGGGGATCTGCGCCGGAGCCACGAGGTTCTGTATGGCGATGTATGGAGCCGCCGCTGTGCAACCGCTTGCGACACCGTAGAGAATCTGATACCCGATCCATTTGGCAACCGAAGTTGTAGGGCTTAGGGTCGACAGAAGCCCGTAGCCCACTGCCGAGATGGCACCGCCGGCCAGAAGAAACGGAAGATAGTACCCCAGAATGGAGATCAGGGCGCCCGAGACCATCGTAAAGAGGACTAGGCCGAGCGTGATGGGGAGCATGTGCACGCCACTCATCAAGGGCGAGTCGTCTCGGATCGCCTGGAAGTATATCGCAATGTAGAAATCCGCCACCAGGACACTGGACAGGCTGAAGAACATGGTCATTGCGGTCGACCAAATGACTCGGTGTCGGAGCATGGCAAACGGCACCATGGCCTCGTCTCCCCGACGATGCTCCCAGACCAGGAAGAGACCAAACGTGACGGCGCCGCCGACCAGCAAGCCAATCACGACGGAACTATTCCAAGGGTATTGATTCCCGCCAAACTGCAGCCCCAAGAGGAACATCACCACAGCCGGGCAGACGAGCATGAATCCGGGGAGATCCAGAGACTTGATGGCAGTGCCGAGAATCTCTAGAGGCGGACTCTTGGGTTTCGGTTCGGGAATCGTGTTGAAGAGAAGAAATCCGCCGACGACAACGCCCAGAGGGAGGTTGATGTAAAAGCACCACCGCCAGGACACGTTTGTGGTGAAAGCCCCTCCGATGATGGGCCCCGTCGCCAGGCCCAACTGGCCCATACCCATGTTGAGCCCCATGAAAAGCGCCTGTTTCTTTGTTGGGAGCACCGAAGAAATGGTCGTCACCGCGCCGTTGGCTACACCAGCAGACCCTACGCCTGCGATGGCGCGGCCGACGATGAACATGGGCGACGACTGGGCCGCTCCGCAGATGGCAGACCCTATCTCGAAGAGAACAAAGAAGATCAGGAAGGTCCACTGCATGATCTGGTTAGTGTTCATTCTACGCGCGGCGTAGACCAACATACCTTGGTGGAAAACTGGCTGTAGATCTTGCCGGTCAAAGGCTGGAACGCTGCACTTCCAAGCTGGTAGGCGCCGCCATACCAGCCGACATCCACCAACGAGTCGAACTCAGAGGTAATGGCCGGAGTGGCGGTAGAAAGGACGGCAAGGTCGAGGAAAAATAGGAAATAGGCCAGGGTAACTGATGTGAGGATCAGGCTGACCGCCAGCCCAGACGGATACTCGTACTTGGGCTCTGCATCATCGCTAGAGGCACTTTTCTCAGCCATTGCAAGACGTGAGGACGGGTGGTGCTGGTAGTATAACTGCTTAACTACCGGTTTATAATAACATATAAGAGTGACACCTCCTCTCTGCCTATAAATGCACTGCATCTGTAGTCCAGGAGACCGGAGTCTACTCTCCGAAATCCGCACCTGCAGCAGGATCACTTAGGGGTACCGCTTATACCGGAGTCTGCTCCGAAATCCGGCACCCCTACTAACTACCGTGATGTAAACTCACCCACTGGTCCCTAACATGTTTACCAAACCGGCCAATAATCAACTATAGAAGAACGGCCTTCTCCCGATCGTGCTTTCCGAACAATATCCCGAACAAAACAGTCGTCACGGCCATGACGCCCGCCAACGATGAATACATGATAACCAGATGGGGGTCCTTGTTGATGGGCGTAAACGCCATCGCCAGGCAAGCTCCAACTCCAGCTGTGGCCATCCACACCGACTGGACCACCGACTTCATAGATTTCGGAGCTTGATTGTAGGCATATTCCGTCCCTGTGGTGAAACAGAAAATCTCCGCAATCGCACCAAGAACGTAGATGGGTATTTGCAGGAACATCGAGATTTGATTGGGAATGTGGCCATGGTCCGACTCGGGGCATGCCAGGGGTTGATCGTAACAGGGGCCCGTGGAATATACTAATTTTTGTAGGATTGCGGTGTAGGCCATAGCGAGGGTCAGAAAGAGAAATCCGACGACAATGCGGGCCATGGGGCCGAATCGGATCTTGTGCTGGGTCAAGAATGGGTATAGGCCACGCGCGACTATCGGCGTCAGTAGAATGCTGGAGATGGGATTGAATGACTTGATAGTGTCGTTTGGAACCCCGGAGTTGACCATCTGTCCGGCCTGGGAAATGAGGTTATTGAAGGTTTGGTTCATGCACAACCAATGAATGGGGAATAAGAGACTGTATAATGTCAGTTGCCCCTGCATCTGAATCGATCATACACGCTGGAGGGCATACAAAACACGACATGCGAGCAATCCACTTTTCAACTCGTCAATGAATGTATCGGACCACGTCACCTGTCGGTGGTGCTTCTCTCGCTGTTTCTGCGGTTTGGCCCCATCCATCTGGAACCCTTCACGAATCCCATACAACATAGCCCTGCCGGCTTGTGGGAGTACCGAGCCACTTGGCGGGCGCCGAACTGATTGCGAGAACATTGGTATCTATTTCTCTAGCGTCGGGGCGAGGAGTCACTCACCAAATGTATGTCGCCACGCCAGCAACGGTACAATCGACAGTGCCATCATGCACAAGGGAAGAAGGTATGCGACCCAGTATCCAACATACTTCTCAAGGATTGTGGTGATTAGGGCCGATAACCCCCCGATATTCACCATCCTAACCCCGAGTTAGCAGCGCCTCGACGCCGAGGCAGGGCAAAGAGGAGAATACCAATAGTATACATTGTAGATGTATTGGATTGTGAGCGCTCGATCTGTGATGACCTTTCGTCTGTTCTTTAGCACTCTGACCTTGGGGATTGCTTCAGTATACTGCTCCGCTGTGCATGGTCAGCCCGGATTAGCTTCAGGTGACTGATGCTCTCATTCTGACACATACCGATGAACGGAGCGACAGAGGATCGCACTCCTCCTGAGCCCACGGCGATGAGCACAATGGCGGTAACTAATCCACCTTCTGCAGCCCCGGATTGAATAGCGCGAGGCAAGGAGGACCCGAACAAAATCACCGAGCCACAGAGTTGGATGCTGTCCGATCATTAGCTTGACGATGATGCAAGCAATCGACCCAAGACCATACACAGCAGAGACTAGAATTGTTCTGTACCGACCCAGCCAGGTATCAGCCACCACCGCTGCTGGGATGGTGGTGAGATAGCCCCCGGCCATCATCGCATTCACAATATTGGTCGCCATTGCTTCGCGTAGGCCCAGTACGCCGGGAATCTTGCTAGAGGGTGAATGTTGAATATAATTCTCTGCTAGGTATCAGAATCCTTGCCTCGCCACGAGTCACTTGACAGCAGACTCACGCAAAGGGCTGGTCGCTCCATACCAGACGAAGCGCTCAGCGGCTCCCACGAAAGCAATCAGCCATACCCGGAAGGGTATATCGTCTATCACTGGAAGCAGATTCTCTTCGTCATGCTCACATGTCGCCAATTGTAATTGCTGTGGCTTCCCCTGATGCTCGTTGGATGTAACCACCATCTGTCTTTCGATATCGTCCGACTTGCTCATGATGAGCGTGGCAGGCAATGACAAGCGCCTCTATGCTTGGTACTGATCGAAGGAGAATTGGAGTCAATAACAACAATACGGTCGGTAGCCATCTGACTAAAAGAAAAGCGTAGAAAGAGGATGCAGGAGACATTTTAATAAGTATCTTGGAAGAGCGCGGCATGGTATGCTGCCAACTACATCCATTCATTCGTTTCATTCCGACTGAGCTCGGAATACATGCCTCGGGATGCCTGAATACTCTGGTGTTTATCCCGAGCGGAGTAAACCTGTGATGAGTAATCAGTAGGCACTCCGATTCTGTTCTCGTCCGGTGCTTCATCTTCCCGTCACAATTACCATCGAAAAACGGCAATATGGGCATGGCCAAGACGACCGAGTCTGTTCGTCATGGAGAACATTTCCAAGGTTATGGTCCGTAAGAATGGCAAGCAAGTCTCCTGCGAACCATGTCGTGTCTCTAAGATCCGGTGTGATCATGGACTACCGAAATGTCGACGATGTGATGTTAGGGGGTTGAGTTTCAAGGTAGACACTGTTCCAATACTGATTCCGATTCGCATCTGAAGTTAAATGGTCTGGAGCATTAAGGCGCGGACTGACAGAGAGCCTATCAGTGTTACTACCATCCGGCCCCTCTGACCCGATCACGGAAGAAGGCACACGTACCCCGCAGCGTGTCTCCTGTCAACCCATCGCGCGAGGATGATGAGGGCCCTGGCGTCTCTATCAGTTCTGGTGATAGCACCATACCAACTGATCCTCAAGCGGGCCTGACATCTACTCAGCCAACATACTTGGGATCCACCAGCTTTATGTCAGCATTCGGCCATGATCAACAGGACTTGAGCCTTTCTACACCGAAAACTTCCCATGGATCCACCCTGCGCAAGGCGTGGAGTGCCGACTTCACACACCTCATTCCCCGACTGGTGCAGCTTCTGCGGCCGCTCAGGCTGTATGAAGATTTAGTGACAGACGAATACCATCGGGGGCCGTTCACAGTCATCCCAGCTCCTCTAATCCTTACTCCCTTAAGGCTGCTTCGAAGCCACTGGGACAAGGAGAGATGGCCGCAAGAGGATTTGGGATCCCGGATCACTCAGAACACAGCCACCAAATCAATCAAGCTTGAAGCAAACATGACGACAGACCAGTTTTACACCCTGTTCACAGGTCCGAATCTGCGATGGGAGTTTGCCGGCCTCCTATTCGCTTTGGCGGGGCTCGGTGCTAGCGTGTCGTCTCGCGCCACTCCACTTTTGTCTCTGAACGGCAAGGAGGAACTAGACGCGGATGCTTTTGCCAGGGAAATGGCGGCAGCAAGTCATGCATGTATCGAAATCTGCAGACAGTACGACAATGTGAATGACTTGGTGGTTTGGCTGAACTACACATACTTCGTATTGGCATCGAATATAATGGGCGAGACAAGTAAGACCGATCACTTCATAGGGCTGGCACTCAATTCACAATGCTGACACAGAGTAGGCCATCATATTTACGCGCAATTTGGGGACTTGGTCTCTTGCATTTATGCTATGGGCCTACACCGTCCAGATCGTCCTGGGTCCGCCGTTCCATTTTTCCTCTCGGAAACCCGTAAGAGAGTCTTTGCAGCGTCATATCGAGCCGACAAAAATATCGCTACTTTTCTCGGAAGGCCGCCTCGACTGCCGTATCATTATTGTGACGTGGAACTACCCTTAGATATTGATGACGATAGTATAGTCCTGGACCGCCTTTCCGTTGACAACGCTATAAGCAAGCTCACGCCGGATGGATGGGGTACGTTCAACGGTGGTCTGCGCCCTGCCACCGTCATCCGGCTACGATACATGGTAGCGATGTTGCGAGAGCAGGTGGTGGGACTGTCCTTGGGGCGAGGCTCTGTTCATTCCAGACAAAATGAACTCCAGTAGGATTCGCAATACTTGTCGCAGTATGGTGAAAGCTAATATGCTTGTAGGGCTACCTATCAAGAGTGTAAACGATTATGGGACAAAATCCCCAGTCAGTTCCACTACAGCAAAAACTCCTGGAAGGCATTAAGTCCGCCCCTGGCCATAATAAGCCTGGTCATCCACCTAGAATACCTCCACACGCTGTTTCAGGTCGAGCGCATCCGCTCCAATGAGGTCCCCGACGCCATGTCCGATCTTCTGGACTCGGCCATGCAGATCGTCTCGGCAGTCACAGATTTTGCGAAGCACCGGAATCAAGAGGCCAGCATCCGCGAGCAGTACACGTGGATTGTAAGTCACTGTAATCCATCGCCATTCTGTTCTAACCTGTCGGTCAACTAGTTTCTCCTCTACGCTCTCCCGGCAGCAGGTGTCCTCGCAACCGAACTCCATCGCTGCACAGTGGACAGGGTATCACTACCATGTTCCATCCCCCGGTCCAGAATTATCCGCGATCTAAGCCTGCTTGTCTCCTGGTTTGAAAGCGCTAGCTCACCAACAAATGTGACACATCAAGCGTGCGTAGAGGTTACCAAGGTCATAATCAAGCTCTTGAATGATACGTTGGATTATCCGTCAGCCGGGCAGATGGGAGATGGGCCACAAAACGGTACAGACAATCACCCTATGCCGACCAGTTTACATTCCATTGAGATGTCCCTAAATGCCTACGAACGGTTTGGTGCAACACCGAATGTAGATGCACTTGAAACGAGTGAGGATTTCTTAAACTGGCTAGATGAGTTGGGGTTGGACACGAGCGTCCCTGAGTTCTTTGGGTGCCAGTAACATGGATCCTTACCGAGTCCATTTACGTTTCATCCGGTCGTAAATAGACGCCGTGGCTTAACCGAAGCACGATCGAGCAGCTCCTTGTCCTCAACTATGTCCTCTGGATATCCCTCCTACGCTAGTACCGTAGGCCGATCTGCGTTATAGACTGAGGAGGGCATGTTCCAGGAAACATTAAATATAATTGGCAACTGCGTTTTTGCGCTCTTGTCGGTCACACTATCGCTAGTCCGCTCCTTGCGGTGGAACCACCTGGGGCTATACATATGAGTACTCGGGTAATGTCTCGCCTACACGCCATAGCTTTTCCCTAGGCCAATTATGGTCTGGCCCGACTCGCATAAATTTTCAGCAGGTTCTCCTGTTAATGGCTGACTGTTAATGTTAAGTTTGATCTGATTCACTTTGCATTATGAAGTCTAAACATACATAATGTATTAGCCAAATTTAGCATAGCTTGGTGCCCGTAGATATATACTCATATGTACACTAGGAGTTGATAAAAGGCAATAAAAAGTGCAGTTAAGACCTTACTGAGGTTTCCCACCTTACTTTATTTAGGTAGTAGCTTAAACCGTAAAAGGTTCTTAAGATGCCCTAGAATAGCCTGAGACCTTGCTGAACTGTAATCTGAACTGAGAACCTTTTAATATGTGAATATCGAGGCGTTCTGTTGTAGCCATTGTCACTACAAGCCCTATGTCTCGCAAGCATGACGCTGTGAAAAATGACATAAAAAGCAGTATAGTTGAATTCCAGCAACGTGTTCATCACTCAAGAAACAAATGCAGCTTGGATTGATATTTCCTCCCAATGACTGCTATATATGGCCTGAATGACAAAGTCTCCAGACCATTCTACTAATCAGCAATACGCTCAACGGTTTCGCCAATCAAAGCGAATCTGAGGCAGGTGCGCCATTCAGCTTGAAATACCCGGGCTGTAGCGTCTGATAGATCCCCTTGGGATCATACCTGGCAGCAATGCTCTGTAGTTTGGCCTTATTGGCAACCCCATAACCTGCTATAACATCCTGATACTGGCTCGCATAGTTCATGTAGACATAGTCATGGAACACGCCATCCTTTTTCGCTTTGGCAGTGACTGTATCCCAGAAATCCTTAGCCCATGCAACTATCTTCTCATCGTCATCAGCATTTTCCCACCAGGTCGACATCAGCAGTAGGTGAAGTGGACCATCCGAGGCGTCCAGACCCAGTGCGTTACCTCCATTGCGCATCATGTTCTTAAGCATGGGAACGGTAATGCCCTGATTGACGAGGTCAGGATTGATACCTGGAATGCTCAGAACCTGCGGAAGAACAGAGTAAAAGTACTCAGTAACCCAGTTGGCAAAGCCCTCGTCCAAGCGCACAGTTAACGTCCAGTACATCTCCCGCAGTCCATCGGGATTAACCTCTTGGACAGCGTCACAGTACTCCACCAAGGTCCTGGCCGCCGTGCTATCCTGAATCGCCGGAATAGCGCGGTAGGGAGCAAAAATGGCCGGCTCGCTGACGTTCTTGACATATGTAATCTCGGCAGCAGCAATGTTCTGTCCCTGAGTATGCACGAACGCGACCCAGTGCTGCGCGTTGCCGTCGTTGGAGGCGCCGTTCACTACACTGACGAAGGCGCTGATTACCTTGCTGAATTGATCTTCAGCAAAGACTCGGGTTCCACCTCGCATTTCAGGGCTCGGAATGGTATAGAGGTTGAACTTGGTGACGATGCCGAGGTTATTCCCACCGCCTCGGAGAGCCCAGTAGAGGTCGGGATAAGAGTCTACACTAGCTGTGACGATGGCACCGCTCGCAGTAACAACCTTCACTCTAGTGAGCTTCTGGACACAAGTTTAATGCATGGATACCCTACCTCGAAACTCTCGACATTATCGCAAGCCCAGCCGTACAGATTGGAGTAGTACGAGATCCCACCTCCGGTCGTAAGTCCTCCAACGCCAATTGTCGAAACCCTACCACCGATTGCAGCGAGGCCATATGGCTCTAATGCCGCGTATACTTGCACCCAGACATTTCCGGGACCAACGGACACTACCGACCTATCGTCATTCAGAGCAATTGTGTTCATATCTTTCAACAAGACCGTAATCCCGCCCTGGATACTCGATGCACCCGCAAAGGCAGCATGGCCACCACTCTTGATGGCAAAGGGACACCCAGTGTACCTTGCAAGAAGTACAAGAATAGAAACATCGGTGTTTACTGATGGCTTGAAGATGCAGTAAGGACGAACTTCTTCCTGCTGGACCGACCAGTACGATCCTGTGGCATCGGTGTACGCAGTAGTATTCTGCACGAACGCTCTACTAGGGCCGTACAGGAAGCTCAGGGTGCCGCACTGCAAAATATCAGGCCTTCCATGCTTTTCAGGATTCATGAATCGAAGTACTTACTGCTACACGACAGGCAGATTCGGTTGATCGCGACTGCAACGACCTCAGAGCAGGGATTGAAGAAACATCCACCCCAAGATTATAAAGTGCGGCATTTACATCGAAATTATCGGGTTCGAAGACATTGGACGATGTCTTGCCTGTTTGTGCTAGAGCAATGGCGCAAATGGCGCCCAAGAAAACTGAAAACCACAACATGCCGCACCACAAATCCAGGACAATAAGGGAGGGGTTTGAGGAGAGAAAGGAAAAGTTGTTGTTCCTGCGAGGATACACATGGTCAAATTCCCTTGTCGAATATGAGCTTGACACGCGGGAGTTATGCCACTAATGCACGCCACACATACGACGAAAACGCCTGCCCTATGAGCATTGATAATGGGAAGCTAGTGCTTACCAGAATGCTACATCACTCTGACATGTTGCAAAAAGCATTCCCATTATTGCCGAGTGGAAAGAGTATCATGCGCATGGTACATACTGGCGATTCCCGGAAAACTCGTGGACTGGACGTTAGATATAGATCTGATTTTGTGGCACTTGCTTGATCACCAATATATGTTACGGCAATGATGCCAGCATGCCTCATGGTTGTTATGGAAACCAATATATCGGCTCTCAGATTTGCAAAGCTTTCATGTTTTCTGTGAGCCCGGATCTATCCAATATATAGTTATGTGGATGTCGACTGACTAACGATGGACGATGTGTGTTGCTACGCGTCTGTCATCCATAACCACTCCGAGGCGTGCATGGGCCTAGTTACCGAGAGACTGTGGCAGAGGAAATGGTATAACACCAATATCTATCAAGAAATACAGAGAATGGGCTTTGCTCAAAACGTACTCAAGTTGAAGCGCACTTTGCTTTGAGAATGCAGACTTTTGGCGTGGCGCCTCATCGAGCAGGTCTATCAGCACCTGAAATGGATCGTTTCGCAGACCCGCTTGGTAAATGCTTTGAATCAGAATCTGATGGCGCTGCCTCGGCTTCGGGATCTGCAGCGGCAGCAGTCAGAAATCTTGTATTTATCTGTTGCCCCTGTAGATCGAGATGAACAGTTGCCCCCGGTATACTCGCGAGCAGTTTAAGCAGGCCAGGATTACTCGGGGATATCGTGGTGAACTGTGAGAGGAGACCGAGGCAACGTCTGTGGTTTTTCAGGTATGTGAACGACGTTAGGTGATGGCCAAAGAAAGAAGGCAACTCGTGCTTCTCTATAAATCGAGGCACACCAAGGATGGTAACGTGTAATCGAAGGAAGATTACTGCGAGAACCTGTGAGTTCGATAGGTAAGCGGGGTAGACCTGTTTAGTGCTATCTGCTTGCATGGAGAGTCAGATCCGACAAATCCGTTAGATCCATCACTGGCACAGGGACTCACTCGGGCGCTTTTGCTCTGACGTAGATTAGAATGGTTACTACAATAGAGTCCAGTCCTTGATGGAACCCTCCCACCAATCACTCTATAGCAAATGCTCGGCTCTTGTGTATTACCCATGATCTTGCAGCACTGGCTGTTGCCCCTCCTTGCACTCTCTTAGACTTGTTGCCCGTTTTATATTTTCCCCCTCAACTATCTCTTGTTAATTCCAGGCTCCAGTATATTCGCGTCAACGTTTTGGAAATGGAGGGGCCACAGATCTCATCTGAGAAGCCATCTCAGTGCTCTGAGAAATGCTTGACACAACCAGTCTCTGCATCTCTGGATGAGATAATCAGCTACCCGGAAGGAGGGATCGCGGCCTGGACAGTCGCTCTGGGCTCCTGGTGCTGTATGACCGCGGGGCTAGGCCTCATGAACTCGGTGGGTGTACTGGAGGCCTATGTTTCGACGACCCTCTTGGCAAATACCTCTACCGACTCTACGGGATGGATATTCGGCATCTATGTCTTTGTTTCGTACTTCTGTGGCTTACAAGTCGGACCGATATTTGACGCCAGGGGCCCTAGGGAGCTCATCATGATAGGGACTGTCTTTCTGCTCGTGGGAACCTTTACACTCGGTTTATGCACAGGTGGTCTTTTCAGCATTGATTCCTCGAAGGAAATAGCTAACATGTAGCCTCAAGAGTACTACCAATTTGTCCTCGCCTTCTCCATCCTCAGCGGAATCGGAAACTCCTTTCTCTTCACCCCGGCAATGGGCGCCATCTCCCACTGGTTCGACAAACGCCGCGGCGAAGCATCTGGCTTTGCATTCACCGGCAGCGGATTCGGCGGCGTCCTGTTTCCCCTCATGATGCAATCCCTGCTCCCAAAAGTGGGCTGGGCCTGGGCAACGCGCATCGTAGGCTTCGTGCTTCTCTTCCTCTGCGTGATCAGTGTCCTCCTTTGCAAAAGTCGACTGCCCCCCAAGAAAGGTGCCGCGACTTCATGGCGCGATATGCTGCCTGACCTGCGCATATTCTGGGACGGCACCGGCGCGATGGCAGTAACCACCGCCGGTGTGTTTCTCATTGAATGGGCGTATTTTGTCCCCCTCACCTACGTCCCCAGCTACTATCTCACGCGGCAGGGCCTTTCAAACGCCGAGGCAGTAAGCGGCGCTGCAGCGTTCGCGTACCGGCTCCTCGCGATCTTGAACGCGGTCTCCTGCTTTGGACGATATTTGATCGGCTACGTAGCAAATAAAAGTGGCCGGTATAATACCATGATCGTATCGAATCTCGTCTGCCTGGCTGCCGTGATCGGGCTATGGCTACCGGATGCATTAGCGGGAACTGCGCCCAGTAAGGCGTTGATGATCATGTTTGTGATCGTGTTTGGGTTTGCGAGCGGTTCCAATATTAGTCTGATGCCTGTGTGCCTGGGGCAACTGTGCGACACCCAAGACTACGGGAGGTATTATGCAAGTGCGTATACGGTTGCCAGTATTGGATGCTTGACGGGCATTCCGATTGCGGGCAGCCTGATCACGGCTACTGAGGGGGGAAGGAGGGGCTTCTGGGGTGTCATACTGTTCACTGGACTGAGTTATATGGCGTCTTTTGCGTGCTTTCTTTGGGTACGTGTGCGGGTCAAGGGTTGGGATGTGAAGACAATTTGGTAGTGGCTCAGCAGATACTCGATTACGGCGGGAAATGACAGAAACAATTGGCCTCAATCAAGGCAACTATGAATGCCCCTTCAGGAACGTGACCAGGGACTTCGCAAGCTTTTCTGGCTGATCCTCCGGAGAAAAGTGCCCGCAATCCTCAATAAACTCCAATTCTGACCCAGGAATAGCTTCATGCAATATATGGGCCCAATCAGGAACCTGCCACCCATCATTTACACCCCAGATCAGCTTAACTGGCAGTTTCCCTAGCTCACCCAGCCGGTCGGCAATCTCCAGCGTATGCTGGGGGTCATAGAACCGGACCTGATGCTGGTAGAGACTAGCCTGCCCGACGGGCCCAGAAATATACCCCAAAAAGATATCAAGACTCGAACTCTCGAACTGCTCCCGTTTGTGCACAGCAGACCGCAACCAACCCCGGTAATGCTCGCGATGTCTTGCGTCAGGCGCCCGAATTAGGGTCTCCAGCCCGTCCTCCATCTGCTTCTTCGTTCTCGCAGACGGATAACTGTCGAAACTGACCACATCCACAAGCGTCAGCGAACGAATCCTCTGCGGCGAGAAAATGGCGAAGCGCTGTGCGATCCCTCCGCCAATATCATGAGCTACGACATGGGCTGATTCCAGACCCCAGTGCGCCAGTAACCCCTCTAGGATCGGCACCTGGCCCGAAATCGAGGTATCAATGGACGGATCCCAGGGGCGTTCGGAGACCCCGTAGCCAAGCCAGTCGAAGACATGGACTCTGTAGTGGGCGCTTGTGAGTTGAGGCACGACGTTTCGCCAGATGAGAGAGCTGGATGGTGTCCCGTGGAGTAAGACCACGGGTTCTCCGGTTGGTTCTCCGTAGATGCCATAGGCGATTCGCGTGCCGCGGATGAGTACGTTTTCCGTGACTAAAGGTTGCATATTCTCTACTTAAATTTTGGATAATTGATAGTGTAGTAGGCAAGTTGCATGAAAGTCATGGGCTGCACCTCGTGTTTATATGGCTGGTGAGGATCATGATGTCATTTGTCGCATAACTTGCTAATCCCTGTCCATTCCGTGGGTATTTATATGATTACAAACATTTAGTTTTGCTTAATAGTTAGGTATCCATATAATCAACAAGTTACTATATAAGTATTTACAAGTCACTGTCAGGAGTTGCAATGGGTTACCTATGAGGAAGCAGGCAATCCGGCTCACCAGGAGGTCACAATAAGCTTAAGAAGCGCCCAAACAGGATTGGCTCGATATATGGGATATTCATATAGCACTTGTCACCTTCTTAGATGCTAGATCAAGAAGAGGTCCATCGATCCTCTGAATGCATCTGGTGATATTTATTGTAAGGCCCTAAAGCTACTTTATCTCCTCATCAAGTGTCTGAAGCCAGCTGGGCTCCCAGCGCCGAGGAATCGGGATTTGAACATCGAGGGTTCGGGCGCAAAGAATGATCTACTAAGATCGTCCAAAACATGTATTGCAAATCGACCTCCACTGCAAATGTGGGTTCTGTCTAATATCATGCCCAGCCAATGTAATCCCAAGTGCCGGCTCAGCTAAGCCACATGGGTGCCGTGGCGCCCATTCAACGTTGTCAAACGCATCTACCTGGCATAATAGGGCCTCTGTCGCGGTAACCTGTACACCGATCACGACAGGCGGAGGGAGGCTGCATAATGGAGAGATAATAGATGTAACCAAGATTTATACATGTTGGGCGATGTGTAGACGGAAATCATGGATGAGTGGAGAGGGAGAGAAATGTCAAGCAATGTGTTAGAGTGTAATGAAAAGGTTAGGTGACTAGAAAATAACTATAATACAATATGTGAGATGGAACTGGCGACAGTAGTTCTGACAGGATCTTCGAGCTCGAGCTGGGATCGCATACATCTTGTTGCCCATCTTCCAGCCGATACCCCTGTGAATTATAGTCCATGTCCCGCAGCCTCACAATATTAGAAGACTGCAAATGCCATAGCTAATATAATATATTGAAAGCGCGCGGTTGAGTTTAATGTGGGTTTGTCTAGTCACCGACAATTATGAAAGGAAAAACCTTGGCCTCCAGGCTTTAGGCACAGCTTGACAATCTCTAGTATCACAGAAGGCTTGGATACTTTGGTGGAGAACAGCTTATTGACTATATGTTGTGCATTATCTTTGTTAGGTTGCTCATACAACAACAAAAGATCAGGTAGACCCAGTGTAGCGACAGTGAGAGTAATCAGAAGCAAGAGTTGATATACAGTGGATACATCCTGGCCCAGTAAGCATCTAAATAAATCTTCTCATTCTACAGGATGACATGTATCCCACATTCACCCTAAGGAGAGAATGGATCATTGTAGCCAGGACAAAGGAAGTCTACCAGGGCCCCTCATCATCTGGGCAGAGCTTGCAGTCGCTAGCATGCATAACAAACCCTGAAGACTCTAGCTTGAGTACGTTCTTAGTGGAATCCTACTTGCAGCATCGAACTCAAACATATTCTATTTATACCAACTGAGTAAAATGGACTCTTTTAGACTATCTAGTCTTATAACTGTTATAGGATGAATTGCATTACGATAATTTTCTATCCAATGTTGCACGTGCTAATTGTCCAAGCTTCTGAAACAGTGCACATCCTAACTATACTTTGCTACTCTTCATGTTACATCATAAAGAGGACAGCAAATTAAGGGTAGCATATATACCTGCCCATCCTTTAGTCTGATTACTCAGAACTGTGGGTATAACGGATTTAAGGCATCATTAGGCATGGAGCAAGGGTCCCGTATGAATAATCCGTGGCAATGAAAGAACCTGCTTACTACGTAGAAGACAGTAGGTACCACAATCGGATCGCATGGAGAGATTAACTCGCGCCACTGGAGGTATGAACCATGAAACAACGAGATGATCAAATCCCCGAGGACTGGATCAACCAACCTGAGATCATTGCCCATCGAATTTGTGCCACTCGATGACGGCATAGGGCTGGACAGAGCCAATAGTAGGGCTTATTCACCGGCTCGGGCGGAGTTCTCGGCATGCCGAAGCGGATATACTTACATACAGTGTCCATGATCACTTGACGATGGGTGTTGATTTTAAATTTTTTTTCGTCTTTCATTTTTCTTTTCGTCGTCTCAATTCATAACTAATTCTTCATCCCTATACTATTTGGGGTTTACAGTGTCTTGGATGTGAATTGACTTTGAGATGGCTGAAGCAGAGGTCCGCAATGGGGGTTCAACCCAACCAGTTGATGACGCAATGCCCGCAAACTCTGCGACCAACACCCAACTGCCTAAAAAGAGTCTGATGGATAGGTTGGTGTGATGCTGTTGATGCAGTGTATACAGTCCTAGAATACTGACTATACTCAGAATCAAAGGATATTTTGGCGTTGAGGACATCACTGGAGAGCTACGGGATAGCACAGATATCGAGATTCACACTTGGGATGGGCCTGACGACCCTGAGAATCCGTAAGTGAGAAGGAAAGTCTAGAAATGTCAACTAAGAGATTTTAGATTCAATTGGAGTACCAAGTACAAATGGCTACTTACCTTGACGGTCTGCTTCATGTGAGTTCAATTGTGCTGAATTTCAGACAGATAGGCAAGAGCTGACTCTATAGCTCCATCCTGACCGGTCTGCCTGCCGGAACGTATGGATCCGGAAATAACTGGATGGAAAACGAATGGCATGTTCAGAACTCTCCTTTCCCCAATCTCTATTGGGCTACGACCTCCTGGAACATGGGTGCGGCCTTTTGGCCGCTGATCTTCGTGCCTCTCACCGAATCCTCCGGTCGCATGCCTGGGTACTTTGTTTCGTATATTATCCTCGTCGCTACGCTATTCGGATCAGCCTTCGCCCACAACTTTGCTACTATTGTGGTCACCCGCTTTTTCGGCGGTGGTGCGTCGTCTGTCTCGATCAATATCGTCGGAGGGAGTATCAGTGATGTGTGGAAGGGTGGCAAAGCCCGCAGTTTGCCCATGTCTCTGTTCGGGTTTACAAGTGTAATTGGAATTGCTTTGGGTCCATTCATCGGCTCTGCGATTGTGCAAATCCACAAGGAAGACCCATGGAGATGGTAAGAAACTATCATCTGCTATTGAAGACCAACCTCTAATGAACTCAGGATCTTCTACGTCCAAATCATCTACAACGCCGCCCTCATTCCTGTCTTCTGGCTCATCCTCCGCGAGACCCGTCCAGACGTGATCCTCAAACGACGAGCCCGCAAAATCCGCAAGGAGACCGGACGGCACGTCTATGCGGCGTCCGAGCTGAACGCCCCGAGTACCATGCGTCTCCTCAAGATCTCCTTCGGCCGGCCGGCCCGAATGTTAGTCTCCGAGCCAGTCGTCCAGTTCTTCACCCTGTGGATTAGTTTCGCCTGGGGTATCCTGTATCTGTTCTTCTCCAGTGTGGTCCAGACATACAGCACCAACTATGGCTGGGGTGTATTGGCTACTGGTCTGGTCCAGCTAGCCATCTCCGTCGGGGCCGTCATCGCCACCGCGGTCAATCCCTTCCAGGACTGGCTGTACCTGCGTTCCGCGAAAAGAAACACAGAGAGACCCGGTCGTCCCATCCCAGAAGCAAGACTGTACACGTCCATCCCCGGTAGTCTACTCTTCACCGCCGGGCTATTCTGGTACGGCTGGGCCAGCCAGCCCGACGTCCACTGGATCGTTCCCACGATTGGAATCACAGCTGCTGGGATTGGCATCTACGCGATTTACATGGGTGTCGTTAACTATCTGACCGATGCATATGAGAAATACGCTGCGTCTGCATTGTCCGCTGCGTCGTTGGGTCGAAACTCCTTCGGAGCGTTCCTCCCGCTGGCGTCGCCGCAGCTGTTTAGTAATCTCGGTTTTGGATGGGCTGGTTCATTACTGGGGTTTATTGGGGCTGCACTGTCGCTTGTCCCTGTCGTTCTGGTGCTCAAGGGGCCGCAGATTCGGAGGAGCAGTCCGTTCATGCGTGAGTCGACGTGGGATCCGGAGGAGACGAGTGAGAGGGACGAGAATCAGGCTGAGAAGGCCTCCGATGTTTGATTCAGAATAGATTCGATTCAGTTAGTATATGGTGGTGTATATAGTGTCACGTGAGAGGTGATGATGATATGATTTCAGGGATGCATGATTACCGAAAAGGGACAGTCGAAAACAGTGGACGGGAAATGGTCACTGATGAGCTGATGACGCAGTATAAGCCTGATAGATATATTCATGACGCGGTAGTCTACGCTAGAACTATGTACATATTTGATTTTGTGTTTTAAGTCTATGTGTCTATGCATGATTGACTCCCATCTACTGTACAACGGTCTTCTCCCTTCCCAAATGCAGCCTCCTCTTCCACTTCGCCCTACTCTTTCGCATCGCCCTCTGCGTTCTCGACAGCGGGTAGTTGATAGGGGATTCTCCTCCGGTAAAGATCATGAAGTCGTACAGAAACGCCCCAAAAAGTGACCCGGCCAAGGATCCCGCCCACGGCCCATAGAACCAATACGGATTCGTGAACAGCTCACTCCCATATCCCAGCGCCAACAGTGCCAACCGCGGCCCAAAATCCCGGCTGGGGTTGAATGCAGCGCCCGTCTGATACGAGAACGTCATGCTGAGACACGCCACGACGAAGCCGATGATGAGCGAGTTCATGCCTGCTCCGGGGGGGGCGTTCTGGTCGTCTCCCAGTGCGAGGACAGTCACGGTGAGACAGAGCGTGCCAACGAATTCATTGAAGAAGGCTGTCGCAGGCCCGATCCAGGTTTGCCGCTGGCTGGTGATGAAGCTGTTGATGATGTCGGTGGGTCCGTTGGTGGAGAGGTAATGCTGGACGGAGTGGTAGTACAGCCCGTACACCGACAGCGCGGCGATAAAGGCACCTAGGTACTGCGCTGCGAAATAAGCGGGCATCTTCCGCTTGGGGAATCCGCGGTAGAACCATAGCATGACTGTGATGGTCGGGTTGAGGTGCGCGCCGGACACACCACCGGAAATGTAGATGGCCATCATGGCGGCGAATCCCCACGCCCAGGCTGTGGTGTTGGGGTTCCCAGCGCCGGTTAGTGTCACGGATAGATCCGCGGACAGGCCGACGGTTAGCTGCACGAAGACCGCCAGTGCCTCGGCGAGCTCCTCGCGGTGATGCGTACGGATGACGGACCAGGTCGTGTGGTTATTGTGCACCTCCTCCTCGACTAGCTCCTGGACGAGAGGGTGCAGGTCCTCCGGGTACGCCGCGTGGTCGAGCGTAGAAAAGGCTGTCAGGTCATCCTTGTCCTCGTGCTCGTCCTCATCCTCATGTTCGTACTCATGCTCGTCTAGATGATGCTCGAGCTCCTCGGGCACGGGCTGCAGAGGTTCAGCGGTGACCTCCTGCTGCGGCTGGGGAGACTGCGGCTGGGCTGGGACTTCAGGCTGCGTCTCCGCCGGATGCTCACCTTCCTGTAAGGTCGACAACTGGTCCACCGCGCCCTCCACATATGAGGGACGCCGCATACGTGTGGATGAAGTACGCGATAACCGTCGTGTTGACACCCCATCCCCAGTCAGTATCTTATTAACAAAGTTGTTCTCCCGCTGCACACGCGCATCCTCCACCTGGGCAGCCATCTTGCGCGGATCCGCGGTCTTCTCGATCTGCCCAGCCTCCAGATCATTAGGATCAACCTCCAGCCCCATCTTCTGCGAGTTCTCCGCCGGCAACTGCGCGTTCGCCCGCGCCTCCAGTAACTCCTCCTTGGTGGGAACCATGCCCGGCCGCACCACGCGCGGCAGGGGCTTCGCTAAACTCCATACCGGCTTTGCGTTGGCGGGCTGCTCATACGCAGGGTTAAGCTCTGTGTATCCTGGATGCACGAATGGTTCGTGGGCGAGTCTGAGTTGAGGTGTTTCTTCTGGACCGGCTAGTGTGAATTTCCCCTGTGTTCTCTGCGCCAGCGTCGTGCGGGACGTTAGGCTTGGTACTCCGCTGCGTCGGGAGGCCGCTGTGCTTCGTCTCCGGAGGCCAGAGTTGGCTGGCCTTGATGCTTCGTGGCCTTCCAGGGCAGAGGCGCGTCTGGTGGGCGACATAAAATCCGCTCGACCGGCTGCTGGAGTGCTCCTGGTGGGTGAGGGGGCTGCTTCTGTGGGATCTTGTAGTCGTCGCGGTACTTCGGACTATCTGCTGTCAGCATGTGTGCTACTTCATCGATTGTATGGCTTTACGTACCTTCGCCCGCGGGCGTCTGGGAGGTCTTTCGTCCATATTGTTTACTCCTCAGTCATTGCAGTCACGCCAAGCTGAGTATCAATTGATATACTGAACAGGTAGTAAAACAGACAACAAAAATATCCGTCGAAGGAATTGACTTTTCCACACTCTGGCTCCTCGGTTAACGACCGGATGACAACAACTTGCGCAATCCCATTGATTACCGGCTACTGGATACTTCAAAAGCGAAAGATCGGCCTGTCTCTTGTTTCGTGTTGAATTGTGGGCTCATGGCGTAATGAGTGGATCTCATCTGGGTCCTCGGCAGCAGATCAGTCAATTAGCATTCGATATCGTTGATTCTCCTGGCGTGTCGATCCAATTGGGTAAACTATCAACAGCTTCAACTGATTCTTGACCCACATTACATCACAAAAGGTATTGTTATCCTGTTTTGTGGGTGGGTCGCTTCCATTGAAATTTGATGTGTTCCTGATGTGCCAAGTGTTGACCAAAGATATATCACCGAATTCTTATCCCCACCAATGATATTACTGTGCCTCATCAGATGAGATTGATGATCAAAAGAGCTGATGCCATTGGATAGTGTTGGTATCTGATGTCATACTCATTCTGTCAGCATACAGCATTCGTGAAGGTACACTTGCACTAATCAAACATCATTTGCCGTTTCCTTAGCGCCCACAGCGACAGGAGAAATCGAAGCCAACGCAGTCCCTTCTCCCTCTTTTCCACCCTTCTCCCTCAACCTCCGACGCATCTTGCAACAGATCACACACTCGAGTATCGAAAAGAAGAAACGCGCGATGCTTCATCGTCAGCCAAATCCCTAAACCAGGGGACAAACATACGGAAACGGAATCATCAAAATGAACGCCAGGTCCAACGTGTCCATCCATGGACGAGGATAATCGGATGGGGCATTGCTCAGAGCCCAGTCGCTAAAGACCAGCTGGAGACATCCGATAACTCCCAGAATGATCGATACAACGTTACCGAAAATCAGCCAGCCCACGTCCAGCCGCTTGAGGGTGAAGGAGGCGGCGAGAAGACCGCATACTTCGATCAGGTCGACGACTATCGCGGTGGATACCTGCAAGGTCAGATACGCCTGTAGTTGAAGTGACGGTCGCTTACTGCGAAGATGGCAAAATAGAATGTGTGTCTATCACCCCAGTGAGTTGCGAGATATAGCAGGTAATAGAAACATGCTATGCTGAACGCTAGTCCAAACAGCCTGAGGGCCAGGTGGATGAAGGCCGGGAATTGTGGCACTCGTGATCGAGACATATCCTGGAAGTCGGGTGGATCTCACATATCGACGAATAATGGAATGATCGTACGTGCTTCTTCTGGGGGTGTCACGGGTTTTGTGTCTGCACTGCGCATGGACGACATGGCTGTGGCTTAGACCATGAGCTACAGAAACTTGTACCTTGTTCGCCGCATTCTCAGTGAAACAGCAGCTAATTCTGAAAGGGTTAGTGCTCTGGGATTCGGCTATGGAGCCTGGCTTGGTACCAATATAGGTCTGCTTGGTTATAGGCTGCGAACGCCATTGCCAAGTCTGGTGGACATTATTCGAGCCAATTGTACAACTGTTTGGCGCCGACTGTAGAGGCTCAAGGTCAGAGTCTTGTTCTGGACTATCTGTTAGAGGCTATTCATTTGGTGGTCCATAATAGAACCATCTTGAAGCCTTCAGCATTCTGCTGTCTTACAATAAGCTTCTTGGCCTTAGGAGGGATTAGACGTTGCCATATATCAATGGAAGACGAATGAGTCGTTACCCCTACGATAGCGTGGAATAATATATGACACTTCGCTAGCGCCCTGCGTGTCTCACTTTGGTGTGCGACGTAATCTGTCGAGTCCCTTGCTGAAGGCAGTCGTATTTGATCTTGCTAGTCTGATAGAGATCTGACAGCGGAGCACGAGACAGCTCCACTATCAAGCAGAGCATGGGGTACCCGGAGGATCAATGAAAAATAGACCACCCTGAGCACAATGCAGTGATTGAATCCCAGCCATTAGCGTTCCTCATGACCTCGAGGTGTAGAACGTTGGTGCAAACGGTCTCTGGTTCTTGTTCGATGGCGCCAGTTGTCTTGACTCACTCCGGGTTTGTAAAGTGCAATCATCACTCCAAATAGAGCCGATGAGGCGCTTCCTGCAAGCTAACCTGAGCATCCCCATCGACAGGATGATCCAATCCATCCAGTCGTCATTTGTATCTGGGCTAATATTGAAGGTGCGTTGAAGAAATTTCAGAGTCGAACTATGGCGGTCCGTGGGCTAGAAGTGCTTACCGCTCCGTAGTCGAGCTGGAGGAAATGCCCTTCAATCGTTCCCGATTGACCAGTGTCCAAAGGTGATCGAGAAAGGCAATTTCTGAGTGCATCCCTTGAAAGGACGATTGCACAAAATGATCAACAAAATGCTAGGAATCGCCCTAGGAAACTGATTTGCCCTTTTGCTCACGATGTTGATTTCCAGCTTGAACTGTAGGTGCGGTAGGGCATACCTGCTGTTTGTGATGTGTTTCTTGATATTTCACGTGTTGAAGGGGTCTGAGCTGTCTGCGAGCCCGTGGCCGAGCAAGCTTTTTTGCCTCGACAAGCAAGCAGGACGAGAAACTACTTCAATAAACCCTCAATTCATCTTTGTAGACCCCTGGCTCTCCGAATCGATGGCTTCGGTTATCAGCGCCCCCCATCCCCGATAGCCGAGGACTTGCGCCACGTCTAATATGAGCAAGCGTGGCGGCGCAGTATGATAACCATGTCGTTGACTGAAGCAGCGAGTTCGTATTGGATGAGGCTCCTTGAAGAGAAGCATGGGTTAACTCTTGGCGGCACTTGTTAGTCTTTGGCCCTTTCTGATTTGCCCTTTGATCCCCCGCTTGCCTAGATCCCTGAATTCTGTTGGGTAATGGTGAGATTGAATACGAGGTCCGTCATTAACGACAAGGCTCTATCCTAGAGCCACAAGCCATGGCAGATCTATTCCTCATAGACTACAAGGCAACGATGTAACGTCCCCAAGTATATCAAAGCCTTGTCCCGGCTTGAGATATTTAGCCTCATGCACATCGCTCTCCTGATATACTCAGCACCGGCCACTCAGGTGATAACCAGGCTTAAGACGGTGGTCGTTATGCATCATGGCATATACGCAAGCCGAACTAACCGGCTACTTCGACCGTATCAACTTACCTACCGACGCCCGCGAGGCCTTATTAGCGGGTAAAGACCGCCTGGAGGCTCTGACCTGTCTTCTGCATCACCATCTGGCCGCTGTGCCCTTCGAAAATATCGCTCTTCACTATTCCGCCGATCGCGTCCTAGTTCTCAGCCCGTCATTATTATACGAGAAGATTGTTCGGCGCCGGCAGGGCGGTACCTGTTTCCAGATCACTCGGCTATTCGGCGAGGTGTTGCTAGCCCTGGGCTTTGAGCTGTACATGAGCGGGGCACGCACAAACAAATCGACCAGCGTGGCCGCGCAAGACAAGGATGGCCGCGCGAAATTTGGAGATTGGTATTCTTTCCCTTTGCTCGGCCATATCATTGTTGGCGTATGTCTGCTGATCGTAAAGGCAACATATGATTCTCATCGTCCGGCTAGATGGAAATGACTATCTCGTGGACGCAGGGTTCGGCCCCAACGGCCCAGTCGACCCTGTCCTGCTTCGAGATGGACTCGAGTTTACTGACGGTGATGGCAACCTCGGACGGCGAGGCAGACTTGTTCATGCCCCGATTGATCAGGGTCGTGCCAGACATCTCAAGTACTGGCGGCTGCAGTTCCGATTTGACGGCAGTCCGGATTGGACGGACATCTATGCCTTTACGGAGAGCGAGTGGCTTGAAAGTGATTACCAAGCTGCAGAGCGTGCGGTTCGTGGTAATAAGCGAGCCTGGTTTATGTACCGAGTGATTGCATTTCAGATCGTGCTGAAAGACAGGACGCCTGTTGGTTGGGTGATGATCTGGAATGATGCTATGAGTTGGTTCCAAGGGGGCAAATTATCACGGCGAATAAGACTCGGTTCCGAAGGGGAGAGGATCAATGCCCTTGAGAGTGTGTTTGGGATTAAGCTGGGAGAAGAAGAGAGGAAAGAGATTGTTGGGACAGTAGCATTCTTAGGTGGGAAATCAAAGATTTAGACATGTAGATTATGTACCTCTCTCTATGCATGGTTGACTCCCACCTACTGTACAACCGTCTTCTCCCTCCCCGAATGCAGTCTCCTCTTCCATTTTGCCCTATTCTTTCGCATCGCCCTCTGCGTTCTCGAGGAATGATACTTGATATACCATGGTTTCATCATTGGTGTCACCGCAAAACCGGTCCATACATTTCGATGAGACAACCAGCTAAACCTGGGGGAAAACCAAGTGTAGGGGAGAAACCACGCGTAGGGGAGCGAAACCGCCACAAAGTTGGTGATGAAGACGATCCCGTGTGGCCATCTGAAACTGGATCAAGGGTCGATCAATGGGTATTCGATAATGGTGTTAACCTAAGCTAATACTACGTAAGATATATATCTGCAGATTAATCCCACGATTTAAACCAGTATAAGGCATAGCTATATAATAGTATAACCACCTTATCATGCTTTCATCCAATTGTAACTGAATTGTCGATTCCATGCCGGCGCAAGAAGGAGACTACCTCAGATCCATGCGCACGTTCTTCCCACCTGGGCATCGTTGGTTCTGCCAGGTCACATCTTTAGCCCCGCGTTCCTCGTTATAGCTTTTTTGAGGTCTTCAACGGATCCGAGGTTTGGGATGTAAGATTGGGCACAACGCCAACAGCTGGCATGGTGCCCATTGCTGTCCAAGCGGATGGACCCACCGCATGGTAGGCACACCACGGCATTAAGGCCTTCGATCCAAACCTTTTTCTTTATATCCTTATCACAATGCGCACACTTCTTGGCGTTATTGAGCTTGTCGGCTCGCTTTTTGGCGCTCGCAGCCATTGGCATGGTTTCAGCCAATGCCTTCTTCATCTTCGTCTTTCGCCACCTCAGAGTGTACTCACGCATGTAGCAGGACTCACACCTGTACGTCCCTGGATCATCTCGATCCCGGAACCAGTACGTTCTCGTTTTGTTGCTCCCACATACTATACATACTCATGTACTCGCTCGTTTCTGTTTTTGGTGGGCAATCATATAATCCGGCCTGGGGAAATGATGTTCTCGCCAGTATTTGGCACACGTCCAACAAAGATTTTGTTGCTCGCCATTGGCACCTGATGGCTCCATCTGATAAAATTTGGCATCATCGCATCCACAGTTGCCGCATACCTTCTCAGGCTGGGCTGCGTGACAGCCCATGAGCTTTCTGGTCGTACCTTGCCGCTCCGGGTCCAATACCGATAGCACAGGATACGTCACCGTATGGAACCGTAGATTGTTCCGGGTTTCCATTTCCACTTGCCCTTTGTTGTTTTGCAGTTATCACAGACTTTGGGGCAAGAGATCGCATCCCTTGCCTTATCGGCATCGTCCGGTTTAGCTCCTGCAACGGGCCATATGCTGTGCAACCAAATGCTCTTGCAACTTGTTGGTGTAGCTCGTTACAATAGAATTATCGTAATTGCTTCTTCGTGTAGGGTTATGGCTATATCTTTATCCACTCATAGTGGAACAATGCTTCTTTTGCCCTCACAGACTTACTGGACTTGATTATTTTTCTGTGCCGGTGGAGCAACACCATTGTTAGAAATGCTTGGCCCAGCATAAATACCATCCTCACCATCAGGGTCAACCACGTGGTTGAGATAGACGCCGTGCTTTGTATCGGTTGTTCTGATCAGACATTCGCTCCAACACCCGAAGAAGCGAAAGTCGCCCAGACGATGCTCCCGAAATGACTCATTCCCGCCAGACGCTAGCGTATTGAAATCGGATAGAAAATGTCAGAGGACGGTAATTTCAAAGTCCATCTCAGTTATTCGTAAAGTGAGGTCTGCTACTAACCCAAATGTAGTTTAGGATGAAGTATCAAGTGACGCGGGGACGCGGGGTAGTTGGATCGTCATTATATTCATATGATATAATACGAGCCATGAGTATGGCCAAAGCTGTTCTACCGGGAGAATCTCTGTCTGCACACAACCTGACAAAAATCTCAGATTATCTGTTCCCGCAACTTCATCCAACTCGCTCAGCTCCCAATCCAGCACTCAAAGTCATCATGGAGGCTCGTTGTCAATGTGGAGCCATCCGATTTACGACACCAGTCCCAGCACCTTACAAGATATACGCCTGTCACTGTACTGAATGCCGTCACCAGTCTTCATCCTATTGCGGCATAACAGCCGTCTTCCCATGGTTTGAAATACCAATGGTCAATCCAGACGGTACTGCGAGAATCGGTACCTATACTCGGCGAACCTCGAAAGGTAGAGAGCTGGAATGTTTATTTTGTTTGTCATGTGGATCACGACTCATGCATCGCACTCATGGAGACGAAACCCTGAACGTGAAAGGTGGCTGTCTAGAGGCTCTGACGCGAGAAATGATGTCGAAGGCTGCGCATATTTGGTGTAAGGAAGCAGTGATGGAGATACCACCCGGTGCAGAATGCTGGCAGGAGGACCCGGATGATTAGCAGTCTTCAGTATCAGTCGAAAGCTTCTCTGTATTCTGCTCGAAGATTATAAGGTTAAATATAATGTCCGCCATTATCTACAAGCAGCCTAGAGTTGCATGGTATGAAGGTGCTGATCTACTTGGTATTATCATTGAAAAACCAGTATCAACCAACTTAAATACATCATGATCTCGTGATCTTAGGAAGACGCCATTTTACAATCTTCCATCCTTCTGCTCAAGAATGCTTATGGCAAACTCACGGCAAGCCTCATCAGTGCGGCTGCATCGAGACGAATGTCGGGTTGACCTGGGCCTGGAGCTCGATCAAATAGCGCCTGGTAATGAAGATGAATGGGGAGACTTCCGGTCGCGTTGGCTGTTGTAATGGTAGCTGTCTGCGCTATGAACGGGTACTGGTTGGCTGCCTGCTGGAGTCCGAGTGGAGGCATTGGCGGTATGGCCATCTGCTGGATGCGAAGAGCCTGCTGTGGAGTGACGGACTGACCGGGAGGGCTCAACTGCCACTTATCCAACAGAATGGTCTTCTGTATCCGTTTAATGCTGAGCAGAATCACGGTGCGAACGGCCCCTTCACAGTTCTCGAACAACCATCGTGCGTCGTGGCGGAGCCTGGTCAGGGATTCAGAGACGCCGGTCTCAATCACCAGCGAAGGCCAACCTTGCGGCTGATTTCCTCTGGGCTGTCGGGTTGGTGGTATGAAACAATCGTGCGCTTGCTTTCCCTTGTCTGCAGCCACGCTTGGCCTGTGAGTCGTCTTCCCACTCCATAAGATGTCATCCATCGACGTCCCAGCCAAAACGGCGGAGGCGGTTATATGGTCGCGGAGACGTGATGTCGCTGTTTCATGAGGCTCGGACGGGACAACTTTGATAAGCGCAGTGGTTCGTTCAAACATCAAACGAAAGTTGATGCCGTGCAAAACATTCTTATTTTCAACTAGTTGACTGCGAATGGCTCGAGGCAGATTGAGCACAAGGATATACTGATTTCCTGCGTCATCATTCTGGTTCAGTCTCTCAAGTACCCTCTCTGCCTCGATACTCAATTTACTGAGGCTGGTAAAGGGATGGGTGACGTAGTCTTCTGGCAGTCCGGATGTGATATTCGATGGCTCCATGATAGTAGACTGCGTCGGTGAGGAATTGATTGCTGACGCGGTACCCTCGGTCTCGCTGAATATGAACGCCATAGTCAATAATTTGAAATATGTAAACCAGAGAGAATGGTATGAAGGAACAAGAATGAAGGTACGAAGGAAGAAGATTGAGGGTATGTATGGTAAGAGTTCTCAGCACTTACTGGTATCCTTATGGTTCTATTCACTGTTAGAAACTCGACGAACAAGTTGTATTAAGGGTTCCTGGAACTTGCCGTTTATTCTTATATTTCTATTCACTGGTAGGTACCTGAAAACAAGTAAATGTAAGCTATGGATTACAGCCCAGGACAGTGAATGATTAATGTTGCATCTGATAAGTGAAGGAAATCACATTTTCTGGATGATGTTAGACTAGATATATCAGGGCGAGCTGTAACATATGGGGCTCTAAACCAAGAATGCTGCCAAGGTAAGTTTAATGAAGGGCTTTTAAACCCATGGGTGGACAATGAGAAGACGTAGTCATTAAAGTGTCATAAACCTTGCTAAATGTATATTGCTATATCTTTGTCATGGCCCCTCGCAGCAAATTCTTCAGCCATTTCTCTCAGGCGAACTACGGATGATGATGATGATGATGATGATGAAGATAATGATGGGTTCTCTGATACAATCACAACCCATTATCCAAATACAGGTTTGACTCTACACCTGCATGCATGGCAAACTCTCCCCTTTAGAAACCGTTGTCTTCCAGACCTGTATCCCTTCAGTCCGACCATTCGAGACCACCGGAATCTTCAACACTCCTGTACTCTGTTAGACTGGGTGCCTCAAGAGCTTGCGCCAGCGCTGCAGCATGGTTGAGGATCTTGTAAATCGTCGATATGATATCCCCCTGCTGTCCTTTGTCCCAGCTCATGATACAGCCTGAGTACTACCCAAGTCAATATTTCGCAAGAGTAGTTTCAGGGGTTGGTCGAACAGCTTACCCGAGACTCCTTGTCGATGCACAAAAAGCGCCACTCGTCGGTATCTGTAACGATTCCGTACACTGTAGTATCGTTGCGCCCAGCGCGCTCCCTTGCATGATGCAGTATCGCTGCCATAGTCTAATCAGTAGATCTCCTTGTTGAGTCAGACACACATACCCATGGAAGATAATGCCTGGTATCGGCCAATGTTCCCTCGACGCGATGCACAAAAGAATAGCAGGTTCGTCTCCCTTTTTTGGTCCCCGTACCAAATGGAGTAGTCTGTCGTGCCCTCTAAGACGTAACCCTTATTCTGATAGGACCATGGCAAACTCAAATTCTTCTCGAATTGAAGATGAAGTGATCCGTACGCTGAGGCGGACTCGCGTTTCTTGCTTGCAAGGACTGCAACGAGAATCGTCTCAAGACGGGCTCTCAAAAGCACTTTGTTCTCGCTATCTCTACCTGCCGCACGCCAATAGCCCGACAGGATTGACCCTATACTAACGTCAGGCATGAAATTGACCTTCTGCGTGTATCAAGCGGTTGATACGTATACCTACCTAAGTACTCAGGTCCTTGAATCTTGTCCTGCGCTGTCAACTGCCAGCAAGAACTAGGATCCGGATCTGGCTGGAGGCGTAAGAACCGACGAACATCTTGGGGTTGTATATCGGCAATTGTGATATGTGGCAGATCGTTATTTTCTGAAGTGGCAGGCCTTTTTCCTTGCTGGGCCACAGTCCTAGACACTACGGGCACTTCGGCGATGTCAGCTTTGCCCCGCATGGCTGAACCCTGTGCTGAGCTTTTGTCAATTTGGATCCTCAATCTTTCAAAGTAGTCCATGTCAGTCGAATAGCTTGGTGAAGTGCGGTAATAGATAGAGTTTGCAAATGTTGGGGTCAGGACAGGGTAATGAATTCGAAGACGCAGATGTGATGTCAACGCAGAGGTCTTGTCTCCCGTGCTGCCTACCATACATAATCAGACTCAAAATGCCTGCATTAGCAGTCTGTGATACTGATATCTATTTAGTTGCTCCTGAATATATCAGTTATCCACTTGGTCGCTGTCTATTTCCTAAATCCGACAATTCTCTACCGTCCTTCGGCTGTTCCTCCAAAACCACACAGCCAGTCATCTGGCTCACGGTCATTTTCCGTCGGTTCATTTGAGCTTCTGATATGGCAATCTCAATTGCCTGTTTAATAATCTTGCCAATCTGGCTGATGATCTCTTCTTGTTGACCTTTTGTCCAGTCCAAGTGGAGCGACGAGTACTTTCATATCTTTCGTCAGCTTCCTCTATCATCTGGACCGTAGACAAACACATACCTGACTCTTGCTGTTGAGGTGCAAGAACGTCCATTTGTAACTATCAGTACAAACACCATATATTTCCGCGTTCCTTCCGGCTTTCTTTCGAGCGTAGTGAATTATTGCTGATCGGGAAGTGTTAATACTATGATTTGCTAGGAGACATGCTCAAGCGCAAGCTGCACTTACACATTGCTGCAAGAGGCATCCAACACTCATCTTCCATTAGCATGTTGCTTCGGACAACGACAAAGTTGGTCTCGAGGTCTTGTCGGCTCCCGTACCATAAAGCGTAGTGCACCGTGCAGCCAACGATGTAACTACAGCCCTGAAAGTCGTGTGCTATGCAGAGTCTGTGTCGGGATCCCCAGAAAACGGCGTCCAGGATGGCAGATATTCCGAACCTGCCATTCCCAGACTTTCGTCGTGCTTCTTTCACCACGGATAGGATTTGGATCAGTATGGCATCCAGTCTCGGACGGATGAGCTTAGCATTTGGGGACTCGACAATTAGCGCTAGGTTATAATCATCTAGGAGTCTTTCTGGTGTTAGTTAGCGACCGGAAAATCCCGTTATAGCCCTGGAAAAGCACTCACCGAGAGAACTAGGCATTTCGAGTCTGTCATCTCGTCCAATATGCCACGTGCTCTTTTTCCTCCACCAGCTGCTTGGGGAAATCACCGTAGCCTCAAGGAAATCATCAAGAACATCGCTCTCGTTGTCTTTGTCGTTGTCGGGTTCCGAACGAGAGCGCATCGGTTGCATCGTCTCGGCTTTGGCATATCTCGGCGGAAGTAGATTCCGCAAAGTTGGCGTGCTCTAGATATCGGGAGAATGGGATATACTATTTGACTGACCACTGTTGGGCTGTGCTGTACATAAATGAATTTAGCATGAAAATTGAGACGTCGGATGCCTAATCGGGCAGCGGCCTTCCATCAGAGTCAGGAGTCTCCCTCTATGGATTCCAGGTTGAGATTTGTCCATTACTCCGTGCTGACATATAGTACCAAAACTTGGAGTCTAGTCAAGAGTACGTAGAGTTTGGAACAAAGTCTTTACATATGTGGTCGAACCACACATGGGTCTCAGCTCCTACCAATCTTGTTCTGCTGAGTCTGCTCTCGCAAAGCCTACGCTCAATGACTCCGTCAACGAGTCCCCTTCAGGGTATTGGATAGAGATCGCCTTGTAATCTCCAAATAATGTGCTTTATCATAATGGAAATGGCAGTATAATGTGAAGTTGGATTCGAAGATTACTATCATTCTTAATTCATACAGCAGTGTTATACACAACCCTCGGTAAATCGCAAGCCGCAACCACAAGAGTCACTAGGATTCCTATCGGAAGCGCCGAGATCCCGCATTGTGGCTGAAGCTAAACATAGCCACCCGGCTGAACAGGGGTAAGCCTCGCAAAGCGCCGTAATCGTGGCAGGGTCCGCAGGGGTTGGGCGGTTGAGCCCCAGGCTAAGCGCCGATTCCCTTCTCAATCGGAATGTTGCTTAGTTTTGACAAGTCCATTCGGAATCAGATATAAGGCTGTAATCCCCCAAGTGCACAATCCAAAGAATGGCATTGGTGTATCCATGGCCAACTCCACAACATCATCCGGTTGGGTCAAGGAACCCGACGGGCGCGGAACATGGGGCATCCTCTCGACATGTCTGCTAACCATCACTCTATGCTGCTGGACATCTGTATGCCCCAATCTCCCCGCTAAATCAGATGGAGACTGGGCCCGCCTGCGGGATAAATTCCACCTCGCGTGTATGGGGATCCTAGGCCCGGAGTTTCTTTTGATGTTGGCAGCGGGACAGTGGTCGTCGGCTAGGACGTCGGTTAAGGTGTGTTTTCACGGCCAGTCTGGATGGTTCTAATAGGTGTAGGAGTTTCGCAGGTTAAATAATAAACGAGGAAAACGGGAGTGGACCATGACGCACGCGTTCTATGCGGATATGGGAGGGTTTCTTCTCGAGGGGCCTGGGGTTGAGACTCCGTTCCCGGTTGATGCGAAGCAGTTGCTTTTCCTAGTCGAGCAGGGATATGTAGAGTATCCAGAAATTACTCGGGAGGATATCGATGACCGGAACAAGTCAGATGGGTTCGCGAGGTGGGTTTTGATCATGATCTTGATGGAGGTGAATGCGCTGCTGCTGATGACGATGATGCAGATTCATCGCAGTGTGTCAGGCGGTTTGGTTGCTGCTCAATTGTATCCTGCGTGGGGCAGAAGGTCTTGCTTTGACAACGCTGGAGCTTACTACTATCTCCTTTGTCATCGTCTTCTTCGCAACATCGTTTTGCTGGTACTACAAACCGCAAGATATAACCAGTACGACCACCGTAACCCTCGCGGTAGATATCAGCACTATCCAGAAAAAGGTAAACCACGCCTCTTCTACAGGAGGAAATGCATTGACCATGAGAAAAAGCACTGCCCTCCAGAGCTCGAAGAATGGTACACAAACCCCTTGGAATTCCTGCATCCCAACCTCTACATCTGCCACGTCTTTTGGCGCTACTTCAACCAGATTCTTCGCCGGATTCACTGTCCCATCTTCTCTCGTCCCGTCACCACCAAACCTTACAACCGCATCCCAAGCGATGATTTCCCGCATCTAGATACACTAGCTGACGCCCTCGCTTGTCCGATCGTCCTCCTCTTTGGCAGCATGTTCATGATTGCTTGGAGGTTTGACTTTCCCTCTTCTCTCGAGCGAATCCTGTGGCGCATCGCGTCCTGCTATACACTGTTATTCTCCATCTTCGGCGGTCCATACATACAATTCTGCTACAAAGTTCTTCTTCCACGGCATGCTGAGAAACGAAGGGCTGGGGATGTGGAAGCGACAATTCCGCAGACGCGGATGCAGCATCTCGCTGCGAAGATGAGAAATATCCATACTTCGAGGGACCCAAGGTTGGAGATTCCGCTGTTAGCGCTCATCCCTGTGACCGTGTTGTGCGCTTTGTATTGTATTTCTAGGGCGTATATACTCGTTGAGGATTTGGTTGGGCTGCGAGATCTACCCGAGTCGGCGTTTCAGACGGTGGAGTGGTCCGTTTATATTCCTCATTGGTAGTTGATAACAGAATAATTGTTGCCTATACACTGAAGCCATCCCTCAGCTCATCGGACATATGACGACTTATCACACTCTATCACTCCCTATGTTACGGATCAAGGGTTGTGCTGTCATCGTTGCTCTGACTTACTCCCGGGAATTGTTTGCTGTAAATTTATTTCAGACGGAACGGAATGCAATACGCTGTCCTTTTGTGAAGATAGTCAATGAGAGTGACCACACTTCTCTCAAAGCTTGTGGTTGGGCTGCATGCCGCTCGATTGTAATTATATATCATAGGGGTGGCATACTTGTGATACATGCCTGGTTTTCATTGAGATAGGGGACCGGTCGTTTGATGCCTGAGCTAAAAGTCAAACTTGGACGCCTCTCTTGTTTTGCCTTCTAAATGAAATAGCTCTAGTCAGATAGACCTTGTAGTACTAAACTGCTGTGGTTGCGGATGGTAAAAAAGGAAAATGAAAAAAATGGACTCGCGGGGAATCGAACCCCGGACCACCCCCATGCTAAGGGGGTATTATACCACTAAACCACAAGCCCAACTTGTTGGAAGGAAGTATCTTTAAATGATTGATGTCGCAATTCGGTTCTGCTTGGGAGGAAAGTGACATGGTTCTTGCGGTATTCGGTTGACGATCTGCTTCAGCCAGCCACTTTGTTGGAAATCGCGGAACCATATGAGATTACTCAATCACTAGTAACTTGCCTACTAAGGTCCGGTTGGTGGGCGCTAAATGATGGCTCCACCATCTGTGAAATGGCAGTAACGGCATGGCCACTTGACATGCCACAGGTAGTGACTAGTAGCTCCTTTCCCAACTTCCCTTCCACCCCCCAAATTCCTAATCCACACTTCGGTTCAAGTCAACGGTGCCCATGGACCACCAAATGGATTCTTACATCAAATGGAGAGAGAGGGATAGGCTGTATGCTTATTATATCAGTCATGAAAAATGAAGGCTAACGAGCGTACGACACAGGCCCGACACCCCACAGTTGGTTCTGGAGCTAGGCGGCAGCCCGTTTGTCTGGACGGAGCCCCGGAACCCAATATATTCTGTTTCGGTTTGTCTTCGCAGGGTTCTGAGCAATGAGCCAGATAATGGCTATATGAACCAACCGTTCTGGCTGCGCTGGTCCCCTTTAATCGATCCCAGCCGTGGAGAATTTATACTCTTTTGTCATGATCGAGAGAGCGACAGCCTCCAGAGAGTTGGTATTGAGGAGCGATCTCCCTATACACCGACCCTGAGAACCCAGCAGTTTCCGAACGAGCCGCCGTCATACTATACAGCGGAGGCACAGGGAAACTTCGACCGTTGTAAAGTTACCCATCAATTATCTTTTCCCACTACCTGGGAAAAGCTCTTACAGCCAGGTTATACCTATACTGTTCTCTGGACTGGGCAAGAGATTGCAAACTGGGATTGGGGCACCCAGCTGAAGGTGGGAAATAAGACCAAGTGGCCACCGGTCTTAATTCCCGGTGGTGCATATATCACATTCACAGTGAAAGAAGGGGAGCGGCCTCCTTTTCCGCGGCTTCCAACACCACCGCCTATCAGCCCAAGTAAGAGAGTGTAAGAACTCCTTTTAAAATAATAAAACTTCCTCGGCTAATCAATATAACAGTCCAGGGGCACCAGTGCTTAGTCTAGAGCTGAGCTGTAGCCCCACAATGCCTCTGGCAGGGGAACTGGAGATCTCTATCAGAGTGATTTACCAGGGTGTATCAGACAATAATAAGACCATTACTGGGGATGAAGAAATGCGGCCGATCACTTTCCACACCTGGGCATTCAAATCGTTAGATGGCCAATTCCGCGTCTATCGCCGCCGCTGTCGAGGTCAATCTAGTCTGGAGGCAGAGGAGGAATGGGAGACATTTTATGGCCACGGTTATCGACATTACTTTTGGGACAATCCTGATAAGCTGATAAATGTGTCTGAGAACCCTGGTCAGTTCCCGACCCTCTACCCCGGAGAATCCTGGTCAGACTTCTGGACAATGGACGGGGAGCTACTACCCGATGACCTGAAACTCGGTGAGCGGCTCCGATATCAGTTCAAGGGAAATACACTGGACTGGTGGGACTGGGGAACAGCCAAGGATCACGCCCAGACCATCGTAACGCTACCTGGCTCGGGGGTGGAACCGATTTCGGACCCTAAGGATAATGAAGGCCGGCCGAAAGTGGTCGTACCGGCATCAAACATTGTGGAGTGGACGGTGGTTAGTGACTGAACGGTTCCTGTTTCTATTCTGTCCCTGTGTGTTTGTATTCTAGCGAGAAGCGCTATGATAATGTCCACTCCAAGGGGTCTGCTGCCATGTCAGCTTGGATCTAACTCCTGCTCTTCATATTAATCTCTCTGTATAGATTATAAGTGCGCATCCACTGCATTCCTATTATAAACCTAGTATAGTATACAACAGAATCTATAGCTTTTTATGAAAATTTTTAATGGATTTTATAGCCTCTATTGTGGTTGTACTGGTTAGAAATATACATATCTTTCGATTCTTACGTTGAGATGGCTCCTTATATTGAGCTGGCGACCCTGAAATTAGGTGGAAGGGTCGGTTATTGAGTCATCTCAGTGAGGAATGTAAATATTTGATCTATTCTTTGTTGTCCTAATTAATATTGTATGGGCATTGTCTGCAAGTGATAAAATACGTCTACCGGGCCACATAACTCAGCAAGAATTAAGAAATCAACAGTCAGGGAATATTCTTAATCAAGCCTTAACCTTCAGCAAGACCCCAGCCTTCATGATTCAAACCATAATAAGAATAAGACCAGCAACGCACCCAGCAACACCCCTATAAACCTACAGACCCGTCTAATCCAGAGGCTCTTTTTTCCTAAGGGAATAATCATCTCTGTCATAGATTGGTATGAAAGTAGTACAGAGATATATATATAAGGGCACCAAGGTCTAACAACCACCATACCTTTTAAATAGTTTTTAACCACCACCCATTCAACCCTATAGATATTAAATTAATATTTCTAATATAGATTAGAATAATTATAATTACTATATATTTCCTG